CCAAATTACCATATTGATTGACACTACTAATAAAATAATAAGTTAATATTTATATGTTGGCTTTAAGGGTCTCATGGCCAGGCAAAACTGCCTTTCCTCGTTAATTACACTAAAATCCTAACATTCATGAAAGAAAGACTAGAAATATATAGCACACATACTTCTTAAGGTTATTTCTAACATAAAGGAAAAAAGTATACTTCCAGAAAAATTTTACAAGTTCAAAAGCAAAGTAGTTGAACCTTTCAAAATAGCAGATTGTAATAAGGAGGTTATATCTTTAACTATGAAGATAAATATTACTTTTCAATTATGTGTAATTAGTAAAATACTTCTTCAATTTTTGTGTATTCTAGAGTCATTTTTAACCTTCCAGACAAGTAAGTCTTATTCACACTTTACACACATGTTTAATGGGGAAAAATTAGAGTAGAAAGGAAATGAAATAGCAGGTAGAAAAAGTAAGTAATGAAAAATTAAAATGAATTCAAATCTCTTATCTTAAAGAGGTTTCTCCTTGCAAACTGTCCTCAGGAATAGACTATCCCAGCGCTTTTTGAGGCACTGTCTAGAAGCTAGTCCAGAGTTAGGACTGCTGGCGGGAATCTTGAGCATACGGTAGACCAAGACCTACACAGCTAGGAAGTGGGAATGGAATCAGAAAATAAATAACAAAGATAAGTTTTCCTACATAGCTTTGTCTTGGAAAAAATACTTCTGTTGGCCATCAACACAGCTACCAACATCATAGAGAGTGGTTTAACTTACTGTCAGGTGGTTGTAAATGGGTTAGTCAGGCTGGACCATTAATGCCTTTCACTTTAGCTTTTTTTTTTTTTTTTTTTTTTTTTTTTTGACAGAGTTAGACAGTGAGAGAGAGAGCGCGAGACAGAGAGAAAGGTCTTCCTTCCCTTGGTTCACTCTCCAATGGCCACTGCGGCCGGCGCACCGTACTGCTCCGAAGCCAGGAGCCAGGTGCTTCCTCCTGGTCTCCCATGTGGGTGTAGGTGCCCAAGCACTTGGGCCATCCTCCACTGCCTTCCTGGGCCACAGCAGAGAGCTGGACTGGAAGAGGAGCAACCGGGACTAGAACCCGGCAGCCATATGGGATGCTGGCACTGCAGGTGGAGGATTAACCAAGTGATCCACGGCACCAGCCCCTAGCTTCTTTTTTTAAAATAGAAATATTAAAGTATAAAATCCAGAAGAATAGTGATTAGGGAAAATAAAGGCAATTTGGTGAAGAACTATCTGAAAGTTCTTTTCATTTGAGTTCCTTGATGTGCTATGCCTGTTATGTAATTATATAACAGTCTGTGCAACAACTTGTGAGATTGGTACTTTGTTATTTCTATTTTATTCATGAGACATTGAAGCACAACAAATGTGGATAAATTGCTTGGGATAAAACACTTGTAAAGTAGCAGTGTTGGAGTTTGTTAAATCCCATGAGATTTCTTCTTATGCATGCTGTAAAAGAAAATTATTCCTTAGATAGGTAGAAAGATATGATGGATGGAGAAGGGCATTTAATAGATATTTGTAGAATTAATGAAGAAATTATATATGTATATAATCACATACATGTTATTGTCTTTATATTCTTAATTTCCTAAGTCTGATTTTATGTCTGTCTTCCTTTTTATGTTTCTTTGGAATATTTCCCAGTAATCTTCCCAGAGTGCTACCACATGACCTCACTCATATGTGGAATCTATAAAAGTTGATGTCATGAAGTTGAGAAAACACTGGTGGCTACCAGGGGCTGGGGAGAGTAGGGAGCAGAAGGAATATGGAAATGTTGGAGTATGATAGGTGTAAGAAGTTCTGGTATATTATTAATTATAAATAACCATAATATACTATACATTCTTTTAAAGATTTATTTATTTATTTGAAAGGCAGAGTTACAGAGAGACAGAGAGAGAGAGACAGAGAGAGAGAGAGACAGACAGGTAGGTCTTCCATCCGCTGGCTCATTCCTCAGATAGCTACAACAGCCAGAGCTAGGCTGATCTGAAGCCAGGAGCCAGGAGCTTCCTGGGTCTCCAAAGCAGGTGCAGGGGCCCAGGCACTTGAACCATCTTCCACTGCTTTCCCAGGCCATAGCAGAGAGCTGGATTGGAAGTGGAGCAACCAGGACTCCAACCAGCACCCATATGAGCTGCAGCACTGCAGGTGGTGCAGCTTTACCCACTACACCACAGTACCGACACTACTGTACATTTTCTTAAAAGCTAAAAGAAAGGATTTTGAATGTTTTTACATTAAAGAAGTGATAAATGTTTATGGGAATAGATACGTTTGCTCTAATTTGAACATGACACAATGTGTGTGTGTATATATATATATATGTGTGTGTGTGTGTGTATGTATGTGTATATATTGAATTATCACATGGTATCCATAACTATTTATAACCTATAGGTATCAGTTAAAAACTCTTAAATTACAAAAAAAAATGTCTTCTCCGAACTTACCCAATCCTGAAGGAATTTGCTCTTGTCCCAGGATCAATGCACAGGAAGAAGTCTACCCAGCAGATCTGCTGATACTCTGCTTCTGCACTGGGAGAACCCATCTCTCTATTTTGTGGGAAGCTGCCACCAGTGTGCTTGCAGGAGGATTGTAAATTGAATGAAGTATTGAAATCCCAGAACAAACCCATGCTCATGTTTTCCTAGACTCATGGGGAAAATTAGTTTTTAAAATATATTATTTCCTTTAAAAAGTGTTAGCAATATTATTATTTAAAAAGCTTGAAGATAAGATGTCAAGTAAGTCAAAATGAACCTGGCACCCACACAGCCTGTTCGCATATTCTAAAATAGCATTTCTCCTTGTTTAGAGGTGCACTGAGCCTGTTACTATAAAGTAAATTGAAAGAATGATGTCGCAAAAATAAAAGGGAATAAAGGGAAGAGGAAGAAGGGAGAAGAGTATCATTGTATTCTTGGAGCTGTATCTATGAAACTCATGCAGCCTGTTCTCCACATTTAATAAATTTTAAAATGTAATTAAAATTAAAAACAGTATTTCTAAAAATATGATGTTGTTTTAAAAAAATAATTATCAATTCTTCCAAGAGTGATTTAAATTGTTTTCTGACACTTTGTACTTAATTATTTACAAAATAAAATTAGCTTATTCATCAGCTTTTATTCAGCTGTAAAACTCAGACATTTTTAAATTGGTTTTCTCTGAAACAACAAAACCAAGAAAATGCAAGTTTCCTGCAATTTCTCACCTAAACTAACAATATTGTTTCATTGAAACTACCTTACCACTCACAGTTACAATGTGGTACCCGCTCTGCAGGGCATTTTGCTTAGGTTGGGTGTGATTCTACTGACTGAAGTAATAATTCAATTCTCCCTTCACTGTCTCTATTTTGACTATTTTAACTTAAGTAATGAAGACAAACAACAGTGTTAGCACATAGTGACCACTATAGTAATTTTCAACATATTACTTCTACTACAATGACTGCTACTAACACTAGATAAGACTATTAATAATACAAATGTTTAGCCTAGTTGTAAAAATGCCAGTTAAGATACCCACATCTGGGGCCTATGTTATGCTGTAACAGGTTAAGCCACCACCTTTGACACCGGCATTCCATATGGGCACCGGTTTGTGTCTCAGCTGCTCTACTTTTATCCAGCTCCCTGCTAATGGTCTGGCAAAAGCAGTAGAAGATGGCACAAGTATTTGGGCCCCTGCCACCCATGTGGGAAACCCAGTTGTAGCTCCTAGCTCCTGGCTTCAGCCTGGACCAGCCCTGGCTGTTGCAGCCATCTGGGGAGTGACCCACCAGATATAAGATTGATCTCTCTCCCTCCACCACCTCCCACTCCCACTCCCATAACTCTACTATTCAAATAAATAAATAAATCTTTAAAAAAAAAAGATTCTCACATCACAGTACCTGAGTCTGATTCCCTGCTCCAGCTCCTGATTCCAGAGTCCTACTAAAGCAGACCCTAGGAAGTAAAGGGGATGGCTCAAGTAATGGAGATCTGACACCCATGTGGGAGAGCTACATTGACGTCCAGGCTTCTGCCCAGCCCAGCCCTGGCCACTGGGGGCAGTCGAATGAACCAGCACTTGGGAATACATTCTCTCTCTCTCAAATAAGCAAATAAAAAATTTTAAGATTATTTATGGAGCATACCTTAACAATATAAATAGTTAGTGGCTATTTAAAAAATTGGGAAATTAAGCATAAAAAACAATATATTTAGCCAAGTAATCCAACTTTTTAAAATTTAGATAAAATTTGCCCATATGAATTGCTGACTTCAAAATTCCATGTTCACTGGTCTCTCTGTCATTCTGGAAGAGATGCAATCTAAATGAGCCACCTTGGTGAAGTAGGAAGAGCTCTGTGAACCTGTTTGTGCACATGCAAACCTGATTGTCAGCCATAATAAAATTTCAATAAAGAGTGATTGTAATATCAGGATCAAAATTAGCAGATTGAACTCCCACTTCTTTTAGGATCATAAAAGGGGTATTTTTCTGGTATGCTGTTATATAAAGATGGTGAAAACTCAAATCTGTAGAATTTATTTATAATCCAGGATGGATATATGTATTTTTTTCTTCATATATATGTTTATATGTATACATATAAATGTATATACATACACAGATATATATGTATTCATATAGTATATATAATATTTACATACATGTATACATTTAATCTCAACAGCCTCAACAGTGTTATACAAGTTAATCGGTTTTCTTTCGTTCTCTGTTCACAGTACTTGGCTCCCAGAATGCACATTCTTTTTCTTCTCCTCGCTCCACCCCCACCTTTTGTCAGTATGTTTTTGCTTTATCTGCTGTTTAAGAAATATACTTTACTTCTAGGGGCAAGACAGCTAACAGGGGATTTTATTCTTCTGTCTACATTGTTTGGTTACATTCGCCCTTTGGTACCTGCTTTGGATGTCTTACTTGCTGTTTTCCTTTGTTCCTATTTGTTACAGAGGAAGTGTCTGCAAGGATAGTTCAAGTAGTCACCGCTGAGGCTGTAGCAGTCCTGAAAGGTGAACAAGAAAAAGAAGCTCAACATAAAGATCAGCCTGCAGCTCTGCCTTTAGGTAAATAGAAGGACCTCAGGTCAGGGCCTGTGTCTGCTGCACCCTGATCCGGTTCACAAGATAGGCCATATATTGTGCTTTATCCTTCATGTAATATTCATCAAACACCTCCACTGGGATACACTGGGAACATTTTTACCTTCCTCAATGGGTTCTTTGTAGTATTTGGATAGTTTTTAGGGTAATAAGCTTGCAGTTAGATTTTTCATTGTGTTCCTATGTTTGCATTCTCCAGATCATTACAGATAATTATTATAAAAACAAAGCCAATGAATCTTTATTTTATGATTCTCCTCTCTCAAGTAAAATGTGCCAGAACTTTAACTAGAAATGACAGTTTCCTTTTATGGCCTTTGGTGAATGAATATCTGTATTATAATCTTGTGTGAGTCCCCCTTACCTGGCTACACAAAACCTACAGCCAGAGCTCTGTGAGAATTATCATCGACTCTGCATCACATAGGCGGTACCAACCTTCACTTGCTTCCTCTAGGAGTGCTGAGATTGCTCTGCCCTCTTCCTTGGTCACAAGGGCCAGATAGGTAATGCAACAAATGCTTGCAAAACACACACACACACACACACACAGCCGAAGACTTCTAGTACCTTTTTCAGATGGATGGATGGATGGATGGATGGATGGATAGGTAGACAGACAGATATAGACAGCTAGATAATTTTTACACATAAAGAGATATAAGAACGGAGACTCTCACATTCAACATGTATGTTTATTTCACAAACATATATACCTGATTCATAGAATGTTATGATTTTTAAGAGCTAAAAATTGCCAGTGTCACGGCTCACTTGGCTAATCATCCACCTGCAGCACTAGCACCCTGGATTCTAGTCCCGGTTGGGGTGCCGGATTCTGTCCCAGTTGCTCCTCTTCCAGTCCAGCTCTCTGCTGTGGCCCGGGAGTGCAGTGGAGGATGGCCCAGGTCCTTGGGCCCTGCAGCCGCATGGGAGACCAGGAGGAAGCACCTGGCTCCTGGCTTCGGATCAGCGCAGCACGCCGGCCACAGCGCACCAGCTGTAGCGGCCATTTGGAGGGTGAACCAATGGAACAGGAAGACCTTTCTCTCTGTCTCTCTCTCTCACTGTCTAACTATGCCTGTCAAAAAAAAAAAAAAAAAAAGCTAAAAATTATACATCACTGTTTTTCTTTCTTATAGCCTAGTATATCCTTAATATTTGATATTCTGAACTCTGATCCGTACTCCATTATCTTTTAATAAACAACCAACAAAAAATATCCTGCTGTCCCCAAATAATAATTTAGAATATGCTCAGTTTTTTAGATAATGAATTTTTTCAAACAAGAGGAAAATACCTAATTTAAAGAAATCTTTAGTCAGTTCACTTTTATTATTATTTATTTATTATTGTTATTACTCTTTGAAATATTTTTTCTGTTCTATTCACTGCTTTATGAAACCAAAATTCACATCATCTTTAGAACAAATCTAACCGCTAGTCTTAATTGTGAAATATTTCCTTTTGAATTTCCTTACCTACCTGTGAAGGGTCATAAGGTAAGCGTGTTGAATAGAAAATTCCGGGGTTAACTGTGAATGACTTATGACTTGCATTTTAGAACTTTTCCCTGTGGATCTTTACGTGTGAGGCCAAATCGTGAAACTTACTCAGTTTTCCAGGAGATGGTTTCTCTGTGAAGGTTGCATCAGTCTGTGATAGCTTCATTTTTTTCTTCTTTTCATTTTTTTCTTTTTCATACAAAAGATAAAACATTTTGACATTAGACCCAGTGGACAAATTGTTGTAAAAAAAAATGCCACTTAAAATCATTATGATTCATCAAAGTAATGTTTACTTCCGGATCAAGCCACTGAACAAGAGAGTTCTAATATGTTTTTCAGTTCATCCAGCCAAATGCAAACTAAAATGCCTCCTGATGTGTGTTTTCATACGGTAAATTACCACCAAAATGAATTATTTTATTACATGAATAATTAGACACAAGATAGCAATATTAACGATAGAATTTTAGTGGGCATTCTAATCCATTTTTATGGAATAGAAAAAATATTTTGGGGGAACATGTTAAATGCTTAACTTTGGTTTCAATAAAATGTGATCAGCTAATGGGCCTAAAAATTCACCAAATGTAGCTTACTATTGAATCTTTTCCTGAATTTCATAGAGAGGCCTTTTAAACAATGGCAGAACTGCCCACACATCTACTGGCATAATAAGATTAATTATTGTGTCTCATTTTTCCATTGTTTGATCTTTAGCAGCTGAAGAGACAGCTAATCTGCCTCCTTCTCCACCCCCATCGCCAGCCTCAGAACAGACTGTCACAGTGGAGGAAGGTAAGACCTACTGGGCTTTCCAGGGTTTGTCTTCTGATAAAGGAAAAATAATGAACTTCAATCCATAAACATTGGACTTTTATATTGGTTACTATGTGGCCACATTTTGGAGCTGTGTGTTTCAAATAGTCAAGAAGAAATGAAGATTTTAAATAAACATATCATTACATACTTATGTAAAATCAGAAGTAGAAGATATGGTAAATAAAAAGAAAAAAATCTACTTGGCAAAGGAAAGAATAATTCTGTGTTTCAGCTACTAGAAGAACTATAGAGAACCAGGAAGTTACAATACTATCTTGTAAATATCTAAAAAATAAAATAAAATCAATGTAGTACCTAATATAGTGGGGAGGGAGTCAGATTTATTGATAAAATCAATACTTCCCTATGAAAGGGTCAGGAACTGCCTCTGTTTTGTTCACCATTTTATTACCAAGAACCTCCCCAGGGCCTGGCCTGCAGCAAGCTCTCCATAAATATTAATGAATAAATAAAGAAGTTAATAAATGAATCTGATACCAAGAGCAGTGGACTGGAAGCTGAGATTGTGACTTCTTGCCTGCTGAGACCTATTGTTGTCTAGGAATCTATCTATGCACTCACTGGACATGGAATGCCATGGCAGCCTTTCAGTCTCATTGAAGAATATCCGTTCAGAAGCTGAGATGAAAGGCACTATTTTAAAGCAAACAGTGATTGGGTCTCTGACTTAGTTCAACTTTGTGTGTCATTTGAGCGTTACAGGAAGAGGCAGAGAGCTACAGCTTAGCTGTTTTAATAAATTTTAGTTTTCATTTACTAAAATCAGAATTTTAAATTATTCCATTTTACTCATTTCTTTTTTATGTCAGAGATCATTTTACTCTATTAAAAACTGAATATCATTTTTCATAAGACTTGTCTTTTTATCATTTATAATCAGGTTCTTTGCTTTCCTAAGTACAAAAATCTAAATTATTGAACTATATATTATCAACTCATTTATAATTTATTTTGTCACAAATTTGTAAACTAAACTTTTTTAGCAGGATTTTCTTTCGTAGGCTTAGGTCTTTTATTCCCCTGAATTTACTGCCTGAAAAAGTATTAAGCAAACTAAATTACTCTAACTAAACAAAAGTTGGGAGATATAATCAGTGCATTACACCCTCTGTAGTTAATTCCTTAAACTGTGATTTAATCTTTCACTACGTAGAATTGAAAGATTCCTTGTGGCTTTGTGTCTGTTCATTCTTTTGGTACATATTTACAATGCCCCAGGGACTCTTCAAACTCCAGTTATGCACTACTGAACAACACAAACATGATCCCTGCTTTTAAGGGACACGCAATCTAATGGAGAACAGAATTTCCAATTGGGATATTGCCAGGAAGGGAAAGAACAGGCAGCTCTAAAAGCAGAACAAGGGAAAGTTTATTTTATTGCATAGTGAGGAGACGGTTCAGGAGCTGAGAGGCGAAGCATGAGGAAGTGGTAACCAAGCCAATACTGGAGAAAGGGAATTTGGGGGCAGATGCTTTAGGATAGGAAGGGTGCTCTGGTGGGCAAAGAATAGGAGGCGTAGATGAAGCTTTATAAGAGCTGAAGGAGTCCATGGCTCACAGGTTGTGAGAAAGGGATAGAATGGGGAAGAAGTGAGAATAAGCAGCAGCAAGCCTCGTTCAGGGCCTGGATTTTACTCCAAATGCAGAAGGAAGCCTTACATGACAGTTGTATTTTCCTCATGTTGTTGAAAATGGTTCTGAGCTCCTACTTAAAGCCCTTCAAGTGTTAGAGAATCCTCTTGACCCAGAAATGGATGTGCTGTTGATAAAGCTGTCCTCCTAACAAAACTCTGCTAGAAGTTCCAGTATTGACTCTCTTACTCTGAATGGGAGTCAGAGCAGAAAGTCTGCTTTCCGGGTGGGTGGGGAGGTAATTCACATAATGAAAATATAAATAAATAAAATATGAATAACTTCCACATTTGGTTAACTTAGGTATCAACTGTCCAGAATAACAGTTCCCTTACATAACAGAATTGCTTTTCCCAAGCTGCTTCAATACATTTAGGAAAAATACCAGCATGTTTGTTACTGAAAGTCACCCAAAATTGTTCTCAAACCCAACTTGTATTTCTATTTTTTTCTAAAATGCATGAAATTATAAGCAGCTTCAGTGATTTGCTTTTAAATGAATAATCATCTGTGGATTATGTAAAAAATATTTTATAAACTCTACCACTTAAATATCATGACTATTCTTATGATAAATTTGTGAAAGTTATGTGGTTTAGAAAAACTACTGCCTCTGTTTTATTTTAAACCACACTCAACTATGTGCAACAAATATATAATTTTTTAAGTTTAGCTTTGTCAGAAAATAAATTAATGACAAGTCACAACACAGGATTGAAATATTTACTGTTTCCATCTATGTAGCCCAAATTCAGCTCAAATTCCATCAATGTGTTGCTTTAGCTGAACAGGTGAGAAGGGATCAGGAAGGTCTCTAGCTTCTCTGGGGCTTCATTTACTCTCCTTGACAGATCATCAAAACAACTTTAAGGGTATAGTGATTACCAACATCCAATTCTTTTACACAAAGAAAGAGAGCTTTCAGATCAAATGAAGTACTTCAGTGATTTTGAGCATACACTTTTTAAAGCTGTTCTGACCCAAAAGGGAAACATGAAAGCTTCTACTAAAACTAATTTAAGATGTTAATTACCATCAATTATAAATATTCACTTACAATTAATGTAATAGTGATAATTACCACAATATGTGCTTATTCTTAGAAACATTTACAAGGGGTTTTGATGGAAAATTTAACAAGTAGTATACTTCTAAAGGAAACCATAATACAGTAAACTGATACTGTAATAGTAAGGATATTGTCAAATAGACCTCCATTTTCTTCTTGGCCTGACCATAATAGTTGTCATTTGGACTGAACAGTTAGAATTCAGAAACCTGAAAACAGATTCAGGAATCCTTCTGACCTCTTAAGTTTGCACCAGAAATCAAGGGTGATATTTTCCCGAGTCATGGATATGGTGACTCATAAATTGCTAAACTGAAAGCAATTTTCCTTCTAAATCATTCTGGGAGCAGCAATAACAATAAACGAAGTGAGTTTTCTTCATTCAAAAGCTTGCAGAATGAGAAGGTCATAGAGATGGTGGAGAACAGCGTAAGTTGGATCAGCTGTCTTCCGCCATACTCTATGGGACAAAAGCTGTGATGTCACAACAATCATAAATCAGAATCCCTGATACCCAATGAGATGTTGTCCCTTATAAAGCTGACTACTTATTTGTTTGTATTCAAAGGGCTTGACCCACCAAGGCTGAATTTTTGCATGGTGAGCCTTACTTTAACCCCATACAAATTTTCAAAGAACTTCTTGAGTGAAAGCAAACTAGGGAAAAGTTATTCTTATATTAGTCTTTCGTTTTAACATAATAGTTATGAAAAGAACCATATAATTTTTGAAGAGTCATAATATCACCCTGTCCTTTAATGCACCACATTATTAATTGAATTAATAAATTTTGTGGCAGAGAAGAGTGCCCCAAACATGAAACATGTCTATTTATAGTGAAAATGAATGCATTCAATCCTGACTTTAAACTGAAAAAAATCACAGTTATGAAATGAATTCAATTTTTCATAAACCTCTCAACCCCTACTTTGATGCGTCAAATGAAGGGGAAGAGAACAGGTGTGTGATAACTTGTCCGAGTGCACGGAATACACTGATGATGACACGTGTGGAGCCAAGTTTGGTTTTCATACTTTCATGATCGCTTTCTCATCAAATCCTCCCAGCAACCCACAGAGATAGATTATACTCATTTCCACCTTTTTTTTGTCAAGTTATAGTGGCTTATGTCTGGATCGGCGTCTCATCTAAGTCTAGATCTAAACCCCAGAATGCACAATTGCACTAGGTCCCAAAAGCTGACTCTTACCAAGGTTCTTACTCTGGAATTACCTAAGTGAATTACTTTCAAATGAAAGTCTTTTGTTACAAGCCAATATATTTATGTCTTAAGTGCTCCCAAAGAAATATTCCAGCTATTAATAATCTATTCATAATTCCTATGTATCCCAACTCCACTGGTATGATCCAAAAGCACCTGCTAGGCATAATTCTGTAATAAATGAGGATCTAATGACTTCTGCCATTATCATTGGAATCAAGTGCTCTGTTTGCACTTAGCCAGCCCATTACATGTAGCTTTCTGGCATAGCTCTGAAGCTTGTGTTGTAGACTCACATGTCCTAAACAGAGATTTGGAGTGCATACAGGTCACAGTATCAAGACAGGACTAGACTTTGTCAGACATTCTTTTTGAAGTTGCCCTGATCCAGGGCCAAATACTACTACAAAGAAGCTACTTTTCCACGGGAGCTCTTACAAGATGTGTTCTTTGATTAAAATGGAATTTTTCAGAATAGAAAATACTGTTTATTTTGAGATGTGAAGCCAGGCTCTGGATGTTTTTACATTTGGGTACTTTCAAAAAAGAAAATGACAATAAGAGGAGGCCAAAATATATAAAGGGCTGAATCATCCAGTGAGTATTGCCTCTCCACTGCCAGCTCTCAGTTCTCAGTTAATTTTGTGCTGCAGTATGTCCACCACTCAAAAAAAAAAATAAATGTTGAAAAGCAGAGGGATAAATACTTCATTTCCACTTATTGATGTTTCATGCAGTCTGCCAGTCATATTAAAAGTTCTAGAAGTAGCTTGCATCCATGAGAAGTCTACAGGCTCAGAGAGTCACTGGAGATATGAATGGCTGGGACATGTGACAGGCCCAGGTTATGATCCAGTCAGTGTTGTCTCCCAGATCTTGGACATCTATCTGTCCATCTGAGAAACTGTGCAGGCTTGAACTATCAATATCAAACATTATTTAGGCTTCTGCAGTTCTGTGATATAATAAGTGTCATAGCTGAGAAAGTCCTGAGTTTTCATCTACAAACAACTTCCGCAGAATGATCTATAAATAACGTGTGCCAAAGGATTAAAAGTACTTCTCTATAAAATGTCATTTTCGTATCCTCGTGGTTTCTGATGTATTTCCAGTTGTCAGGAATCTGGGTGTTGAAAATAAACAACTCTCCTGAAAATACTGGATATTTTCAAATAAATGCTATAATGCTGTCTTCTTAAATTCTAATAGAAATGAAAACTATACTGCTAGATATTATAGACTTCATTGTTAATATTGAGAGTTATGAAAGCTTAAAATTATTTCTCAATACAAGAAAATAAAAAATGACTAGCAAATTGAGTAGTGAGCCACATAGAACTGAGATGTTATGTCTGCACCACATCAAAAATCACATAGTGTCACTGACATTGTTCTTAAACTCATTGAATCTTATAAGATCTAAGCTAAGCAGGCTGATCTGTAGACACGATTTTTAAGGAAATATATTTAAATAGTTCATATTTCCAAGCCAAGGCACAGGATAAAAGAGAAATAAGAGCAGTTCCTTTAGCACTTCAATAAGAAATATGCACTAAGATATTTGAAATATAAAAACTGCCACCAGCTAGTGGCTAAATATACATGGAAAGATGTCTTGATGGATCTAAGGTCAACTTTGTAGAAACAGTCAGCCAATTGTATCTCTGTTAACCTTCAGAAGAGAAGCAGGGCATAAGAATTTAAGTTTATAATGTTAGGGACTCTCTTAAAATGAAATATGGTATTTCCAATGTCATGCAAATAAAAACTGATATTTAAAAATGCTGCTAAGTATTACAGTAGCCTTAGCATCCCAAGAAAGAGTTATGCTGACAGCTCTGTCTTATCAAAGGAGGAAAAGGAACACTACATTGTGCTTAAATTAAAAATTGACAAGATTAAAATTACAAATGATTTTCTGGTTGAAGTCATTAACTAAAAATGAATCAAACTACTATTTGTGCATCCTAGAAAATTAAGCTTGTGTTTCATACAGGACTATCTTTTCCTCATAATCATACAAGCATCAGATCCTAACAACTTCTTATTTAACTCTTAAAAATATTGATACAAGCATGAGAAGAAATAATTTTCTTGAAAGAATTTCTTCCAAAGAATGCATTTGTTTGGTAATGCTTTGTTTCTATTCCAGTTTTTCCTTGGTTATTCTGACTTGTTTGGGAGGAATGTATAGATAATTTCTATTTTGCACCAGGGGTGTCAATGCTTTAAATTCACTTAAATCGATGGCAACATGACTTTAAAAATAGCTTGAATTCAGCAGCTACTGAAGCATGAAACATTCACCATCTCCCATTCTCCATCAGCTTGGTTTTGCTAATTCCCTTCCATCCTGCTGCTTCTGTAGCCCCTTGTGTCCTTGTGCAGGTGTCCGTCTCGTCTGTCTGATCTTGTGTCTGTCTTGTCTAGTTCTCCCTGCAGTTTCTTCCTGTGTGTCTGTAGATGAAGGGGCTGAGGATCAAGTGGGTGCTCTACAGAGGTTCCCCAGCCATGAACCTGCCACCAGCGGGGAGAGGCGTAGACTCCTTGCCCCCTCCATCTCGGTATCTGTGCCTGATGATGACCCTTACAATTCCGATGAGGAGTACTATGAGCATCCTTTGTTCAGCTCAGAGTGGACTACCTCTACTGTGCTCCCCAGTGTCACAGCGCAGAGTGCAGAGGTCCACTTAGGCCAGGAGAAAGGTGAACCAAGCATGGTCCCCTTTTGCTCCTCCTCCCCAGCCTGCAGCTTTGACCATATGCATCGTGTTAAGTGTGACTTCATATGGGGGTGGGAGGGATTGGAGCCTGTTTTTTCCACATGAAAGTGAAGTCCCTATATAAGCTATATTCATCCAAATGCCTCAACAACTTATATAGAAGAAGCCCTGCTTGAGGCATGTGTACACTTCCTTTTTCAGTATCATCACTTGTGAGATGGTACACAGGAAAAATAAAAGGAAGGTAAAAAAAATTTCAATTATAATATTATTCCTTTTTGTTCCCTGCAAAGAAATCAGTGGGGAAGAACATATGCTGTATCCAAAGTAAAGATGATGACTCCACATATTATGTTTGCATCCTGAAGACATAATATATTTAGTACCAATCTTAGAGTTAGCCTTCTAATTAATAGATTAGAATTAGTACAATTTTAATGTGATAACTCCTTTAAAAAGAAAGGTTGCAGCATAAATATTATGGAGTGCATATTTTTCCTCATGTCACTGGATCTTCCACAGACACTAAAGAGGCTCCTTCAGTGATTCAATCTCGGCTCACACTAGTAGGGTTGGGCTAAACTGAAGGAAATGACCCAGAACCTTTGTCATCCTGGACTTGCAAAGCTGGGATATCACAGTATTTACTTGGCTTTGGTGCGGATGAAATCAGTGGGCAATGGCTGTGCTTTGTCTCATTCCAAATGGTAGTTTTGTAAAGAAGAAAAAGAAAGCTAAAATAGTTTTACTTAGGCAGAGAGGTTAATTTTCAAATTGGTAAAAAAAAAAAAAACCTTACTTCAATGAAATGTTTATTTTCATATGCAATATTGTTTAAAGCAAGGACAGATAGTTCCACAGCCATGAAGAATAAGCTCAAAGATCACCAGCTACATTCCTGGTACTAATCTACTTCAAAAGTAGATTTTGGAAAAAAGAACACCAGTGGCTCAGACATCCTCATAAATAAATATAACCCATATATAGCATAAACTTAAAATAAGACAATGAGTGAATTTTTATGTAAGGAGTTTGTAGAAATCAGAAAACAGAAAGCGGCCGGCGCTGCGGCTCACTAGGCTAATCCTCCACCTTGCGGTGCCGGCACACCGGGTTCTAGTCCCAGTCGGGGCACCGGATTCTGTCCCGGTTGCCCCTCTTCCAGGCCAGCTCTCTGCTGTGGCCAGGGAGTGCAGCTGAGGATGGCCCAAGTGCTTGGGCCCTGCACCCCATGGGAGACCAGGAGAAGTACCTGGCTCCTGCCATTGGATCAGCGTGGTGCGCCGGCAGCAGCGCGCCGGCCGTGGCGGCCATTGGAGGGTGAACCAACGGCAAAGGAAGACCTTTCTCTCTGTCTCTCTCTCTCACTGTCCACTCTGCCTGTTCAAAAAATAAAAAAAAAAGATAAGAAAACAGAAAGCTATAAAGTTAGATAGATTTGAAAACATGTTAATTCATTAGATTTCATCCAATAAGGTAATATTAGTAAAGCATCTATATTAAAATTCTCTTAATTGTGATCAAAATCTCTAATTCTATGAAATTTTTAAAGTTCCCTGAATAATGTTAGAATTTACATTTTAGTAAAGACATTCATTTATTTGAAAACAGAATGACAGAGCAAGGACAGAGGGAACTTCCATCCACTGCTTCAGTCCCCAAATGACCATAACAGCCAGGGTGAAGCCAGGGTGAAGCCAGGAGCCAGGAACTCCATCTGGGTCTCCCACAGGCGTGACAAGGGCCCAGGTACTTGAGTCACCTGCTGCCTTTCCTCGGCACATGAGCAGGGAGCTGGATCAGAAACTGAGCAGCCGAGACTCAAATCCATGCTCCCATATGAGATGCTGGTGGTATAAGCTGTGGTTTAATGTTGCACCATAATGTTGGCCCCAGAATCAGAATTTTAAAACTGTCATATAATTAAAATACAAAACTGAAAGTATCTGAATGCTAAATATAAGGAAATAGTTTAAGTAGTTAGGTTTCTGTCTTCTCTTTTCCCCTCTAAACTGTGTGAATATTTTTCTAAAAAGAAAATTCCTTTCTATTCTGTTTGCATCTTTTCCACAGGGTCATTTTAAACAGTGCACAATCGTTTCCTAAAAATTTACTAAGATGCTTCAATTTGAGTAACTATAAAATAGCTTCTATGTTTTCCTCTAAATTCTTAAGAAATACAATGGAACTTATTTTACTGGCATTTGTAGTGTAAATTTAAAAAAAAGTACATGATCATGTACAGCCTTCATGAATTTATGTTTTACACTGTAAATGTTAACCTTTTTTCTGTGTGATATATGTCACAGGGGGGATATTTTGGCAGTTTGCCACTTGATTAGCTCTCCTTGGCAATTTTATTGCAGAAATATGATGTTATTGATAATGTGCATATTTCCTTTGTTAGTGTTAAAGAGAACTATACATAAAATATATTACTGATATTTCAGTGGGTTAAGTAATATAATCCTTGTGTCCAAAAGTTAGACTTTTGGATTAAACTTTACTTTGATTCTGCTTTTCAGAATATTTTACTTACTCATTGAATGTTTTCCTTTTCTCTCGCATCAAATAAGGCCATGAAGGCAGTCATGTAAACTGATTTAAGTATTTTTTACCTTGGAAATATTAAATAAATTATATCTTAAAAGCTTTGATGGAATTCATAATAAAGCTGTTGAGGTAGCTGAATTATTTTGAAATGAGATATTTTTTATTCCCAAAGTGTCTTCAGTGAAATTTGCATATTTTAAAGCAATCAAGAATTCTTATGTAGGGATTTCCTGCGTTGGAGAAAACAGCACATGTCTAACCAATTTAAAAGGTTTTTTTTCAGTACATCTATACATCTAACTTTTCACAACCATCTGTTACCCAGCAGCACTTATTTCCAGCAAGCTTTCCATATGCGTGCAACTTACTGCCATTTCCACTAAGGGTAACCAATCAATAAAACCCTTTCAGCTCTTAAATTTTAAAATAAATAGCCTTTTAATGAGATTTTAAAAGGTACCACTATTACCAGATTGCACAGCATAATTCTCCAACCAGTGCAAAATGCATATTGCATTAGAATTCAATTTGCCCATCCAAACAGTAAAAGCGAATACACGCATAGTCCTTGTGAGGTGGTTCTATCAGAGCTGAAAGTGTTCCTTGAATAATATTTCTGTCCTTTTGTGTATTGTTGTGTGGTCATGATGTCAACATCTTTTTCATCCCTAAGAAGAAGAAACGCTAGAGTATCCGGTGCCTGAGGAAGAGAAACCTGCCGCTCTTCCTGAGAAAGAGTGTGGGGCTGCTAAGTCCTCAGACCAACCCCAAGGCCTCAGTGAGGGCCCAGTGGAGTCTAGTGCGAAGGCCCAAATAGTTCCTGAAGAGAGTTCCCCGACAGGGGCACTGCATGAGCAAAGTGTGAAAGAGGTCACCGAGGTGTCTCCAGAACTAAAAACCCCTTCCTCTGCCAGGGAAGGTGTGTCTTTCTCAGGATCTGCATGTGTTCTGTTGCAAATGATTTCTCCAGTGGCTTTCCAACGCTGTGTCATCGCTGGGTCTTCTCATTATCCCAAGACCCCTGTTTCAGGCTTCCTGAGTGTGTGTGCTTGTGCAGGTGCCGTGTGGCAGCATGGTTTTCTGCTGCTGCAGCTGATTTCCTGGATTTCTTTGCCATGATACAATACGCTTTGCAGCCAGGCTGATAATGCTATGTGAGCTTTTATTTATTTTTTTACCCTTCCCCCCTCATCTCAAATGTTTGCCAGTCACATTGCTAATACATGTATATTTTTGTTTTTATTTTGGGAGCAGCAACTCATATGCTTTTCTTTACAAATGTGGAGTTGGATTTTGGCAAATAGAGGCTTAAATGGTAGAATGTTTTGTTTGCAACCGCAATGTGTTATTTTTTATGCTTCAATGAATACTGGTTTGGTTTCCTTAAGAGTTCCTGCTAATGCTCTCATATCATTTTCTCTCCGCGGCAGCGAATCCCTTTGATCACCTCCATACCTCTTGAGTTTCCATTCATCTAACCTATGTCAGAAGTTCACAAGATATTTCTTTTCTATTGTTACAACAGGATACACAAACATAAAAGGTAATGATGGCCCATGCACTTGCTCTACGAGAGATGGCTGAATTTTATTATTTATCCCCAACGCTTAATCCAGATGGCTACACATGGCTCTAATGACCACAATGAAATACCCTGGGCCTTGAAACACAAGTGAGACTCTAATGCTCTTTGGATTGGTGAATAAAAAGTGTGTTCATTTCTGTGAAGCATCGCTACAGCCAGCACTGCTCAGTGCTTCACCAGCTGGTCATGTTCCAGCGAGTGAGGTTATAACCAAGAGGCAGAAGATACTTCATAGTTAAGTCTTTAGAGAATAATGCTATTTGCATGCTTTTGCAATATTAATAGTAAAATTCAGAGTTTTCTCACATCCATCATACAGACTAAGCAATGATTAGGAATTAAGAATTTTGAAGGTATGATAGAAATTTTTTTCAATTCCTCTATCATCTCAAATAATTTTGATAGCAAATATTTACTTGTTTCATTGAAATTTAATCTCAGATGACTTATAAAATTTTTTGGTAACAACTTATCAGGGCTCCCAAAATTGGTCCTGGCATTTGTTGATCAAATTAACTGAAATTGTTAATATTTCTATCATTACTAATTATTTGGCCTTCTACTGATGGCCTGCCAATCCATTTTCAAATGAGCATGTCTATTACCAAAAAGAAATTCAGTAGAAACCAATCCTTATTATTAGTCCTTAAGAATAGTCTTTTGTATCCTAACCTTAGGTACTTAACTCAGTTTGGATTAATTTATAAATTTTTTCTATAAGAAGGCTCATTAATTTTTTCCACTGTAATACATATCATATAATCTTTAGAGCAGACCAAAGAACAAAAGGTATTCACAAGTATACTTTTCTTACTATTCCTGTACTCATTCATTTACAATGGGAGTCCATTTCACTTATAGAACGCACATAAGTCAGCCCTCACATTTCCATACTGGTTTTCAAAAGGATAGCATGCTTGCATGTTCCATAGTTTTTTTCTTTTTACCCTTTCATTCATCATTTTAAGCTTACTGCCTGAAAGCACTTGCCTATAATTTGTTTAAAAATCAACCCGATTACTTCAGATTTACTTACAGCCTTGAAGATGGATTTCCCTGGTCAGCAGGAACTGACTCCCTCTGCAGCTGAGCCTTTAGCCAAACAGGAAGAGGAGTCAAAGAAGCAAAGTAAGCCTGGTGAAGACTTTCAACATGCTGCCTTAGTTTCTCAGCCTGAGACAACCAAAATTTCCCCTGATACAAAAGACGTGCAAGGCACAGAGGAAGAAAAAGCTCCTCCTGCTCTGTTTGGGCACACTGTTGGCGACAGCCTGGAAGACACGAAACAGAAGACAGAACCAAGCCTGGTAGTTCCTGACATTGGCCTCCATGCAGTACCCTCAGCCCCAAAAGAACAAAAGGACTGGTTCATTGAAATGCCAACTGAAGCCAAAAAGGATGAGTGGGGTTTAGTTGCTCCAGTATCTCCTGGCCCCCTGACACCCATGAGGGAAAAAGACGTACTTGAGGATATCCCCAAATGGGAAGGGAAACAATTTGATTCTCCCATGCCAAGTCCCTTTCAGGGTGGAAGCTTCACTCTTCCGTTAGATGTCATGAAGAATGAAATAATCACAGAAACACCACCCTTTGCCCCTGCCCTCTTACAGCCAGATGACAAAAAATCTCTGCCAGAAACCAGTGGCCCCGCTGCTGCCAAAGATAGCACTAAAGTGGAAGAATCCCATAAGGATGAACCCAAAAAAGAGGCAGAAGCACCAGGCTCAGAAGCAATTACCTTACCCAAAGATGACCATGTTCCAGCTGTGGAAGAAAATGTCATGGTAAAAGTCTTAGGGGAAGAAAAGGGAGCCATCATTCAAGAGAGTGTGCAGAAAAAAGAGATTTCTACCCCCAGTGGACAGGAACCTACCATTACGGAAAAGGAACCTCAGCTAATGCTTGAAGAAAAAACTCTGTCTGACAAAGATGCTGTGCCAAAAGAGAGTGAACCTCCAAAACTCGGAGATGAAGAGACGAGCATAATTCAGACTTCCACAGAGGACACATTATCTAAGGAAGAACAGAAAGGTCAAGAGCCTTCCACGGCTATGTTAAAACAGGACTCATTCCCTGTCAATTTGGAGCAACCAGTTACAGATTCAGTTGTAACCTCTAAGATCTCAGAGAAAGTCGTGAGCGAACCAGCCACGCTAAATGAAAAAAGTGTAACCCAGGAACTACCGGAAGAGAAAGTTGCTGACAAAGATAAGATGGAAGGAGTTGGGGCTGCAAAATCAGCTGAATTGGACTTGCCATTTTATGAAGATAAATCAGGAATGTCCAAGTACTTTGAAACATCTGCTTTGAAAGAAGAAGTGACTAAAAGCATTCAGTTGAGCAGTGACTACTATGAACTCAGTGACACAAGAGAAAGCGCCCGTGAGTCTATTGACGCTGTATCTCCTACACACAAAAATGGTGACAAGGAACTTCAGGCAGGAAAAGAATCCCAACCCAGTGTTCCAGCCCAAGAAGCAGGGTACAGTACTCTTGCACAGACTTACCAGTCTGATCTACCTGAAGAACCCAGTTCTCCTCAAGAGAGAATGTTCACTATTGATCCAAAAGTGTATGGAGAGAAACGAGATCTTCACAGTAAGAATAAGGACGACCTGACACTTAGCAGGAGTTTAGGACTTGGTGGTAGGTCTGCAATAGAACAAAGAAGCATGTCAATCAATTTGCCCATGTCATGCCTGGATTCCATAGCCCTTGGATTTAACTTTGGTCGGGGGCATGATCTTTCTCCTCTGGCTTCTGACATTCTAACCAACACTAGTGGAAGTATGGATGAAGGGGACGATTACCTTCCAGCCACCACACCTGCACTGGAGAAGGCCCCTTGCTTCCCAGTTGAAAGCAAAGAGGAAGAAAAGCCGATACAGGAAGAAAAAGCTGCCAGAGAGGAAAATACTCAAATCGAGACAACCTCTGAGTCATCGTCCCTAGCCAAAGAGTATTACAAAAATGGTACCGTCATGGCCCCTGACCTACCTGAAATGCTGGATCTGGCAGGCACAAGGTCAAGATTAGCTTCTGTGAGTGCAGATGCTGAGGTTGCCAGAAGGAAATCAGTCCCATCGGAGACGGTAGTTGAGGAAAGTAGTACTGGCTTGCCACCTGTGATGGATGAAAACCATGTCATTGTAAAAACAGACAGTCAGCTTGAAGATCTGGGCTACTGTGTGTTCAATAAATACACAGTTCCTCTCCCATCACCTGTTCAAGACAGTGAGAATGTATCAGGGGACAGTGGTGCCTTTTATGAAGGCACTGATGACAAAGTTCGAAGAGATTTGGCCACAGACCTTTCATTGATTGAAGTAAAGCTGGCAGCTGCCGGGAGAGTCAAAGACGAGTTGGGTGCTGAGAAAGAATCCTCCTCTCCACTTATCTCTGGTGACAAGTCTGGACTGGGTAGGGAGTATGACCAGGAGAGGAAAGCTAATGATAAGCTTGATACTGTACTAGAAAAGGGTGAAGAACATGTTGATTCCAAAGAACATGCCAAGGAAACAGAAGAGGCTGATGATAAAGTTGAAACAATTGGATTAGCAGTGAGCTATGAGCAAGCTCCAGCCAAAGAACTGACAACATCAAAAGAAGCACCATCTGAGAAAGCAGAGAAAGTTCTTAGCTCAGTGCCAGAGGTAGCCGAGGTAGAACCATCCAAACAAGCTGAGCAAGAACTGGATTTTCCTGCCAAGAAAGGTGACCAGGGTCAACTGGATGTTCAGATCAGTGATTTTGGACAGATGGCTGCAGGGCTACACCTAGATGTTGGAAAGGCAGCAGAGGTTAAACTCGAAGCTACCCAGGACATGACCCCCTCATCCAAAACACCTCAGGAGGCAGATGCATTTATGGGTGCTGAGCCTGGCCACATGAAAGAAGGTGCCAAAGTGAATGAGACAGAAGTCAAAGAGAAGGTGGCCAAACCTGACTTGGTGCATCAGGAGGCTGTGGACAAAGAGGAGTCCTATGAATCTAGTGGTGAGCATGAAAGCCTCACCATGGAGTCCTTGAAACCCGAAGAAGGCAAGAAGGAAACATCTCCAGAGTCATCTCTAATCCAAGACGAGATTGCCATCAAATTGTCAGTGGAAATACCTTGCCCACCTGCTGTTTCAGAGGGTGATTTAGCCACAGATGAGAGAGCTGAGGTCCAGATGGAATCTATTCAGCTGCCAAAAGAAGAAAGCAAGGAGACCCCAGATATATCCATCACACCCTCAGATGTTACAGAGCCAGTGCCTGAAGCAGTTGTGTCCAAACCAGCAGAGGCACCAGGTGAGGAGGAAGAGATAGAAGCCCGGGGAGAATATGATAAACTGCTCTTCCGCTCAGACACCCTTCAGATTGCTGACCTGGGCGTCCCAGGTGTCAAGGAAGAATTTGTGGAGACTTGCCCTGGTGAACACAAAGGAGTGATTGAATCTGTTGTGACCATCGAGGATGATTTCATCACCGTCGTGCAAACCACAACCGATGAAGGGGAGTCAGGGTCGCACAGTGTGCGATTTGCAGCCCTAGAGCAGCCTGAGATGGAAAGGAGACCATCCCCTCACGATGAAGAAGAGCTTGAAGTTGAAGTGGCAGCTGAAGCCCAGGCAGAACCCAGGGATGGCTCCCCAGAGGCTCCCGCTTCCCCTGAGAGAGAGGAGGTTGCACTGTCAGAATATAAGACAGAAACCTATGATGATTACAAAGATGAGACCACCATCGACGACTCCATCATGGACGCTGACAGCCTCTGGGTTGACACTCAAGGTGTGCATTATTATTTTTTTCATCAAACCCAATAATCTAATGGGAATTTTTTTCACTTTAAACATTTTTAAATGTCCCTTTATCTATTTTGCATTTTGTTAACGATGCAGAGGATGTTGTACATTGGTTACTAATGCTTTCGTTGTTGTTGTTGTGATGATTTGCTTTGATCCACAGATGATGATAGAAGCATCATGACAGAACAGTTAGAAACTATTCCTAAAGAGGAGAAAGCTGAAAAGGAAGCTCGGAGACCATCTCTCGAGAAACATAGAAAAGAAAAGCCTTTTAAAACCGGGAGAGGCAGAATTTCCACTCCTGAAAGAAAAATAGCTAAAAAGGAACCTAGCACAGTCTCCAGAGATGAAGTGAGAAGGAAAAAAGGTTCATTTAACAATCACTTCTTTAAAAATGTTTTTGAAATAATTCAGTATTATTCTTTTATAGAAGAAACTGCCTAACAGTGGTAACTAATTATCTATGAAATTTTGTTCAGTTTTGATCCAAGTGTTTTATTTTTTTTCCTGATGGTATGCTTTTTGTGTTTTCTTATTCATAGCAGTTTATAAGAAGGCTGAACTTGCTAAAAAAACAGAAGTTCAGGCCCACTCTCCTTCCAGGAAATTCATTTTAAAACCTGCTATCAAATATACTAGACCAACTCATCTCTCCTGTGTTAAGCGGAAAACGACAGGTGACTTGTTCAATTCTGCAATGTGGCTGGCAAACATAGACATGTTTTTTTTGTTGTTGTTTTTTTAATCTCATTACCGTAGAAGCTTCCTCATTTTGTTTTTCTTCCAAGAATCTCAGAAGTCACGAACAGTTTTGCTATTAAGTGTCTTGTATCATTATTCTTGTTTTTCCCTCCCTGCAGAAGAGGTCATGACCATCTGTTTCTTTGTCATGCTCAGACATAACAGTGCGTGATTGTATCTTGGCATTGTGCTCTAGTGTCACGTTCTGGGGAGTCCTATTTTCATTCTGTGTGTTGGGTTAGACGATGGCGATGAATTTAACCCTGGTATGCATTCTCATTATTTTGCTTCTTTATCTCCCTCATGCTTAAGTCCATACATATTTGTCCTACTTTCTACATTGTTACTGCCAAATCTGTTACTGATGTTGATGACATTACTGAAAAGCAAGAATGTGCAGTGATTTAGAGATTGAAGATGAGAAGTGAACCTGGAATAAAACTGTGGTTAGCAAAATTAACTTTGCTTTAAGTGAAAAAACAAAAACAAGGAAACTTAAATGATCTGGTAATCTCATCAGATTGTCATGTACCCAAAACTAGCCTGGATTCCATTCTTCCAACCACATCTCTTTGCTGATATTTTGTCGAGATTTTCTTAAATGTGTTGAATCCAAACTACTAAATTTCCAATATAATTCAGTATTCAAAATTCTAAGGTAAAATTTCTCCCTCCATGTAAGGAACTTAGTTGGAAATAAATTAAGAGCTTTTCTATTTTTCTGCCTACTTATTTCTCATTCTTCTCCAAATACACAGTTTTACTAAGTTTTAAATGGTGGAACAAAGCATAATACTCATAATAAAAACCCACTCAATTAACTATAAAGCAAATTTATTTCAAAACTTTAGTGCACAAATGTAGATTTTATATGTGTATGTAAACTAGGGTAATCTTCATTTACAATGTATTTTTAGTATTAGGTGGCATTCTTGTAGTCTACAAATTATCAGAAAGGAATATTTTCCTTTCCAGGAATAGATAGTAAATGTTTCTATGTAGCTCTTTGGATGATCTTAAATGTTAAGAGCACACAAACCTTAATGAGAGGAAAATCAAGGTAATTGGTGGTTTTGTGATAGCTACTAAAAAGTTCAAGTGTTTTGTGTTTGTGGTCACATAATAATCATATCATTTGCTTTCCTTCAAGAACAGAAGTCTAAAGCAGGATTTGAAACTGTTTTTGTAAATACACATGGACAAAAATTCAGGGCCAGGACTGTCTCTAAGAGTTAACAATAACACAACATCTCTAAATCTTATATCATGTCATAATTATCTCATTTTCTCAGGTTTTTAGCCTATTGAATTAGAAATTTCTAGTTAAACAACTGCTTGGGCAGGCAGAATTTCTTGGTTTGGACATAAAAATTCTGTATCCTACCTGAAAGGAGGAAAGATTTTATCAGGATTTTAGAATTTCAGAGAAAATGTGAAATAGTTTAGTAAAGTGTCTGCATATCATCAGTATTCAATTTACCAATGCTGAAAATAAATTAACTTTTAAATTCATCTTTTTAAGGAAATTTAAGATCTTTGGGCTAATTAAGATCCTCCTTTATTTTAGTTAAATTTTAAGATAACTACCAGAAAGTGTGAAACAAAAATAGGTATCATTGGTTTGCAGCAAAGTATGTATTTCACAGGAATTTGAGATATGTTATAAAAGCAATTAGAAAACATAGTTTTCACTGCTTCTTTAAAAAAATCAGTTCTAGAATCTGTGACTAATCCTAAATAGCCTAAAGCATATAGTGGAGAGTTATTATTTTTGGTGGAGCCACTGATGACATAAGAAACCTTTTTGGAACTCATTTAGGAGGTTTATAAGGATAAGTACCTCTTTTTGAAGTTTTATCCCTTATGAAAAAATAAAATGGAAGAAGGAAGTGACAGACAAGCTTGAGTATTTTCTAAGCATAATTTCCAGATGCAAAGTGTTTTTCAAAATACAAAGGATTGTTTTTAATCATGAGATGAGGCAGGTAAGTCAGCAAAAAAATATGCTCACTAGAGAAAATGGGAGTTTCACGTTGAAACCTGAATATCAAACAGAAAAAAGAGAAACAACAGTAACAGATGTGGTAATAATTTCATATGGGAAGTGCATGTGTAGAATACGTCCTATATTTACTGAACTTAAAATTCCTCTCGTGTTATCTGCCCTTGACAAGTTATTTTTCTTCCCTTCTCTTCTAATGTGCTACATTCTCACATCAAATAAATGTGTCTTTCGCATTGTGAAATGCAGGGATGCCAAGGGAAAGGGTTGCTGATCATGACAGTTTAGCATGTAAAATACAGAAATATCTGTGCATATGCCAGTGGCTTCTAGAGCAAGAAGAGGGTTTGGAAATCTCTGTGAATGTTCTTCTGTATCATACAAACCCTGGAAACAAATCAGCTCACTTTTCATGAAATTCTACAGCATTCTCATTGCTAGTCTGTATCTTCCATTCTAAATAATTGACCTTTTTGTAAGAGTGATTCAAAGGTACCTTGGTAATCAGAAGAAAATTATTTGGTGTGCTTACCTTTGCTTGGTAGACCCTGGGTTATGTTAATTAGCACACACTATAGTTGGAGCCACATGCTATGTCATTGTTATTCAGGTTTCTTCCCTTACTTAATTTGCATCTCAAAATAAGTGGAATTTTGCTTTGCATTGGCCTATTGACACAGCAGAATATCCAAAAGGTATTAAAAAATACATATATATGGTTTTTGCGACTAAATCTGGGGTTGTTTGTGTCTTTCCCACAGCAGCAGGTGGCGAATCAACTCAGGCTCCCAGTGTATTTAAACAGGCAAAGGACAAAGTCTCTGTGAGTAAAATAAGCTTTTATTGTTCTTCATTTGAAGTTCATTTTGGTAATTACTTGCAGTGTCTCCATAACTTTAGATGTCATTTAGATCTTAATTATTTTCTCTTAAATGTCATTTTTAATTGTTCACTCAGCCAGAATAATTCTTGGTGGCATCCAGGCATGTACTTGTGTCTTCTGGACAGACATGTGATGGTAGTGAGGATTCAGTTGGGCTGTCCCTTTATTAGTAAAACAAAACAAAACAAAACAAAAATGCATCAGCACAATGATTTGCTGAAACTAGGGAAGCCCAATTTATTTGCTTGCAATAGAAGACAGTTAAACAATTATCATTAATATTGATTGTATTTTAAAATACATTTTCATTGTTTACAATGAGAATATGACCAAATCAAACAATATAGACAAGCAAAAAGAAGTAAAAACAAATTTTATCCTTTTTCTAAAAATAATTATAGTTGCCAATTTGATGTAAAATCTCTGTTACACAGGTTGTTATAACAGATTGTTATAGATTTAACAATAAAAACAGAAACATTATATATTAATTATTTAATTAAAGAGTAAGCATATTTCCATGCCATTAAATACCTTTTATAGCATTTTAGTGACCACAGAACATTGCATTTTATTCATTGACAATGATATACATAATCAATTTTCTGTTACTTGACATGCAAACTATTTGTGTTGTTAGTCTGACAATAATTAAAATGTTAGTCTGATTTTTGTGGTTAAGTTTGTGAATGTATCCAAATGCATTTCTGTAGGATAATTTCATACTGATGGACTTACTGTTTCAAGAGGATGTTCATAGTTCAAGTTTTTTGCTACATTTTGCCAAATTGCTTTCCAGAAAGCTTCTACTTACTTATCCATACATCCTGCAGTTGTATATATTTTTTACCAGATATTTACATATTTTGTGAGTAGTATCTCTTTACCCTCTATTTCTAATGGAGAATTATTGAGCTGTGATGGTGAAGAGTAGGGCTGTGAAACAGACATTGTTGAATCTTGAATATGTATTAGCTATATGATCTTTTCCTGCCTATATCTTAAGTGTACAAAAACAAAGGGAGTAGAGATTCCTGTATCATATGTTAGAATAATTTTATAAAACAGTAAGCAGCATAATGTCTAGAACATAATATTCCCTCAACAAATAGCAGTAGTTGCTAGTTATAATTTTTGATACAATTGGAAAGGTAGAAGTTTTCAGAAGCAGATATGGAAAAAAGTGGAAGATTTTTTTTTTCTGTTTAGGAAAAGAACTTTTAAGTGAACATCTTTTTATAAACATTCAAGGAGTTTTCAGTCCCCTCAGTCATGAAGAAATTCAGTAGGATCAGCATTTACTGTTTACACTTGGGAAAAGAACAGCATACATTATCTGACACAAAACTAAGTGTTTTCCCTTGCAAATGCCCATCTTGTCAGTCCAAAGAAGATAGATAAATCCATCAACATTCAGTCTGACCTTCTCTTATTTATCATCCTCTTTTCTCCTTCATAATATCTCCTAAATTTGTATATATGAAATGCATGAAGTTTATATCCCTTAAATAAAATGTTAAAAAATCAATCTCATCTAGAAATAAATAAATAAATAAATAAATGTTTTCTATAACTAGGCCTCAAATATACCTTGTTGTAAAGTTTTAAAAATGGGAACAAGTATGAGTTATATTTACACCTTTAAAACTATGTTTCTTAGAGGAACAATTCCAACAGACTAAAGATATAGCATCATTGTAAGACCTGTGGGTTAAGTAGCAATCTTAAACATAGAATTCATATAGATATTTTATCCATATTCTGAATAAATAAAAGAACCATATAAAAATCATTAAAAACCCCATAATATATTCAGTATGCACCACCTTTTAAACTAACAAGAGAATTTTTGCTAATTGCCTTTTGTAATATTCTTCCTATCTTAAAGGCCTATTTTATTTTAAAAAGAACAATGGTTTTTGTTGGGAACACATCTTGAACAGTGGAATTAATGTTGAGCCTTGCATTATTACAATCTCTGATAGTTTAGTGATTTCAGTTACATCAAGAGCACCTGTAAATAGTTTGTTCTTCCCAAAGAGTTGGCTGACTATTACACCAAATCTCACTGACTCCTCAGATAAGGAATCATTAGGGAGCTTATTTTCCCTGTCTTCCAGAAGGCACAGAACCAGGACTGACTTTAATATTTAATTCAAAGTAAATTCATAGAAACTAATATGTATTAGGAATTTTTGTAACTGATATAAATGTACAATGGGAATTGCTTCCACAAACTTCCTGTAATTGGATCCTCAGAACAACCCAAGCCTATTGCAGAGAGAACAAGGACATCTTGAACCTGTGTTATTTTCCTGAGCAAATTCACTTCAGAAGCAAGGGGGCTACCTCAATGACCTTACTCACTCAGAATAATCCACAGCAAAGAGGTGTGCTCCCTTTTTGTCCTACTTTATGTCAAAACTCTATCCTGGGATTTTTAATACTAGGAAATTTTTTCTACCCAGAAAAGGTGTCTCTTGCCCCGCTTCACCTGGTTAATTATAGCATTTCTGCTTTCAGTCATGTCTTCTGCTTTTCTGAGAAAATTTATGAACTTGTAGATTCTTGAATCAAACCATACACACTTACTTCAGTCTCAGAGTTTCAGAAATCAATCCCTCCATACATAAGCAATGTTCTTTCTTCCACCCACCCAGCTACCCATTCACCTACCATTTATTATACATTTCATCTATTTTTTTCTCTATTAATTACAAAGTACATGACAATCACACCATTTGGAAATAACATAGAATAAGTAGTAGATAACTATTCTGGGCTGATGAATATAAAATAAAATACTTTAATATTATTTTTGGTTTTACATATATATATAGATATATGTAAATATTTTATGTATAATAGCAGATATTTATATATAAATACTGCTAACTCCAGCTAACAAAGACTGTTTAAAGAAAATTTCTTGTTCTCACAAAAATATGCATCTGTTATCAGTGGTAATAACCATTTATCAAGTGTTGCTAAAGGTAGACATTTAATTTCTTGAGTGTTTACATTTCTTTGTTGTTTGCCTTTTACTTCATAGTTTGGTTTATTTTGTGCTTTTGTTTTCTTTCATGGCAAGACTTCTACCTTGTCAAAGATTCCTGCTTTTCAGGGTAGCGCAAAGTCCCCAAGATGCAGCTCAGCCTGCCCTAGTAGGACTAAAAAGGCTGCATGTTCTGACAGTTTTTGCATGCATCCCACCTCAGCAGTCTGCACAGAGTGTTTGCCACACTCAGAATCAGGGAACAAGGTAAGACAGCAGGGCAATAGAAGTTGCAGAAAGGAATATAAATTGGGAGAAGGTTTTCAGACACAATTCAAGAAATGTATGTAAGTAAACACTTTAACTTCTAAAGTGTTTGACATATAAATAATATAGACTATTAAAATAAATAAAGTTTAGCTAGATAAACAGCTTACCAGGTAAAATAAATGCATAGAAAACCCCCTCCTCTAAATATACTATTGTTTAATTTGTTATGTATTTATCTTATAAAGTTGCAAATACAAACTAACAAAACATAATATGTTCCAGTGTACATATCATGATGTATGTAATAGATAATATTATATAGTCTAATAATAACACATTATATTTATATAATATAATGGACAACATACGCTCAATAGCAGACCAATCAGGTATTAATACCAGCTCTGCCACCTACCTACTCAGTGATCTTAAAAAGATTACATCGACGCTTTAGAACTGTTTTCTCACCGGTAAAATGCACATAATATTTTGTAGCGAGAATGAAATCATCAATGGAGCTTCTGTCGCCTAACAACAAACTATACTGTGTGGTACCAGTCATTGTTATGAATGTTATGTATACCATGCCTTATTGCCTGTTCTTTCGGATTAACAAATTATTGTGCTGATGAGGATTTTTTAGTAAAATTCACTGAAGATTGCTTGAGTAAATTTATGTTGCTTATATTATCATTTAGAACTGGAACTTCACAATTATCAGAACTCCAAAACAAAATATGTTTAGAAAATTTCCAGGCAAATATTAATATTTCATAAGTTAAGAAGTAGAAACCTGTGAAATATGAATATTAAAAATTAGTTTATTAGCACATTTATTAGTTTATTAGCGATTAGTTTAATAGCCAGAGGAATGTAATTACTTTGTATAATTATTCATATAACCCAATGCCTTTGTTTTCCTGGATCAGGATGGAGTAACCAGGAGCCCAGAAAAGCGCTCTTCTCTCCCAAGACCATCCTCCATTCTCCCTCCTCGCCGAGGTGTGTCAGGAGACAGAGATGAGAATTCTTTCTCTCTCAACAGTTCTATCTCTTCAGCCCGACGGACCACCAGTAGGTTCATTTTGGTTTGGCTTTCTTTTTAATACATTTTTAAAAATCTTTTAAAATGGAATAGAGTCTAGTATATCCTTGTATTTTACACTTTTAAAATAAAACATGCATTCTGAGCCGATTGTATTTGTCCTGATCATTAGGAATTTCAGACTAGAGATGGTTCAAAATGCCTTTTTCAAGACAGTGTGGTAGGGGAACGAGAACATATCACCTTTATTATCTATTAAATAAGATGGAGATAATGTAATTTTTCTAAGACTGTATTTTCTCCTTAATACAAATTTAGAACAAAAAAGAATATTCTAAAATAATTAATAGGTAAAACCAATAGAGGTATCTTTAAAATATACAACTATATATGCTTAAAACTTAGGAGAATGTCAAGTCCTATAGTCTAATTGGAAAGTCAATAATCAAAACCTAGCATCCCACTCATTCATTAGGAATTTGCATTTCAAATGAGCTGTAAACAGAGCATATTCTGTGCAATAGCTTCAATTTCCTTTGATTGATGGCTTATAATGAACTGATTGGCAATTACAGCAGTTTATGTAAAGTTCCAATCACTACACACTTATATGTTGGTTTGCTATTAAAATTATTTATTGAAGTATGGATTCAAGTTATCTCCTAAGTATTTTTATTACAACAAAAATAGCTACCATTTATTGAGTACATGGAGATGCAAAGCTCTTTAGATTACACCCAAGTTAATTAACAATGCTGATAGATAGGTTTAACAACTTGTTCTGATGAGAAAACTGACCTTAAAGGGAGGGTAAGTTGTCCAGAGCTACACAGCTGGTAAATTGTTGAATTTGGTTTTCAGCCTAATGAAAACTTCATAACCTATGCTCTCAAAGTCCTTTCTACATTTATTTAAAATAAATAGTCCTGAACAAATCTTCTGTGGAATCATTTGGTGAACAGTATCTCTATCATTTACAAACTATTATAAAATGGCAAAAATTGCTATGACTATCATTTTATAGTTGGTCTCATCATTTATTTAAAAATATTTAATAATAAATGGTCTACTTAAAATGTGAATATTATGCATTTCACTTAAACAGTGTTTTGCCTACCATGAATGTGTTTATTAGAACAGTTGTGCCCAACACCATTTACTTTTATGAAGAATAAGCATCCTTTGAAATCTATGTGAGGAACACTTTGAAATTACTCTTACTTTTTTCTTCCATAGCAAAAAATAAACTATACAGTGAACTAGCAGGGAAATCATTTAAGAGTTGGTGATCTCTAGGGAAGAGACTTTAACTTCTAATATCAGGAACTGGAATTGGACATCAGCAATAACCTTAAGGGTGATGAGACAGGACAAAGTCATCAAGAGCTCCCAGAGGAATACTGGATTTATGTTTGAATGCGTTGCTATGGAAGCAAAATAGCACTTGCTCCATTATCCTCTATTTCAAGCCCTGATAGTGTATCTGTGTATGAATGCTTTTTAAAATGTTCAGAGCCAATGCTTTTGACATTCTAACTTATGTTCTTAAGTATATTGCATTGTATTATTTGAGAATAAGCTTAACTGATACTCTGATAATCTATCTTTACATAATAATCCCTAAAGCATAAAACAATTCAAAGAGCATGCAATTTACCTACTTCTTTCTGCCTACCTAACTGCACACAGAAGATTCCGCTGTTTTGTATAGCTATTGGAAATATTTGAAGAAAATGATGCTAAGGAGGAAGCTCATTTAGCCCTAGAGGAGGGAACAAAGTTGTCATTCCGGATTTGATAAGATAAATAAGAGCACAGTTCAATAAAGTAACTCCTAAATATTTTATAAATTATTTTAGTACTTTAGATTTAATCCCTTCAATTTCAGAACAAATAGGAAATACAGAGTTATCTTCTTGACAACTAGAGCATAATTCATTATGATAAGAAATGGATCATGTGTATTGAACAGCAGTATGAAGGCCTTAATAGCTAAGATTTATCTTCATTCTTCAGAAATAACATGAAGCCTTCTTTTACGGTTCAGAAACTTAAAGCTATTTTCTGTAAATGAATTTTACTTAAGAAAAAATTGTTTCTTAAAGTAAATATTGTTATTCACTAGGCAAGTGTTTGTCCTAGTGGTTATAGCATCAGTTAGGATACCCACAACTCACAGCAGAATATCTAGGTTCAATACCCAGCTCTGGTTCCTGACTCCATCTTCTGGCTAATATGCACACTGCGCACCCTAGGAGAGAGTGGTGAAGGCTCAAGTAGTTGTTTCTCTGCCATCCATGTGGGAGAACTGCATTGAGTCTCCCTGTCTCATCCTGGCCCAATACTGGCATTTTTGGGCATTTGGAGAGAGGACCCCTTCTCAAATAAAAGTAAATAAATATTTTTTAAAAGTTATTATTCATATCTAAAGTATTGCTTCATTTCAGTCTCCATAGTATAAAAAAGCACCTCAGCAAATTCTGAATCCAATTCATTGCATTGTGCACCTTCATGTTCAACCCCCATGAAAACTACTAGAGCTAGGTTTGGTGGCAAAAAATACAGAGGAAATCCATCTTCGGAGATTATCTGAATTATTCAAAGCTGGTTGAGACACAATTAACATTTGAGAAGGAAATGTGATTTCTGAGAGATTTTTCAGAAGGACCTAATGCTAGATGGAAACTTGCCTTAAAAATAGTCCATAAGCAAACAGGGGAAGTGAGTTGTGAAAAGCCAAATCAGATATGGTTTTACATCATCCTGGTTTTGAAATATCACTTGTGGAAAGCCATAAAGCTCACAGAATGCACATTAACTTATCACTTTAGTCTTCTCATAGTCCATTTCACATTATCAGTTGAAGAGTCTGTCAACACTGTGTCCTTGTGTTAAAAGACCGAAAGGACACAGGGAAACATTCACTTGTTACATGAAAACCCTGGGCTAAAGGAGGAAGTAAAAATTGTTTTATGCTTCTCCTAGAGATTGGCCCTAGACCAATGAATAAATTCATATTGTCTGTAGATGGCAATTATCTGTGAAGCTTTCTTGAGTAAACTCTTTGTAAATATTTCATCAAAAAATTAAATGTCTCCTCAGGAAGAACTTTCTACTCTGATGATTAATTGTGTTAGATGAACTATCAGATCCCTTTTACCTCAAAGATTTTAAAATTGAGTTATATCTTAATCCTCTATAAAATTTCAGAAAATTAATTGATTTTTTGAAGGTATCCTACTCGGCAGAAAAACAGAATAAAAATCATACCTTACCTATAAAACATATTATAAATTAGAGTGCTTTAAATGTAAATTCATAGAATATAAATATTTGACTTAGAATTTAGCAACATCTAGATAAATGAGCCTCATTGTGCTCATTTCTTAATTAGGAATGATAAAAGCTGCCCCTAACTAATGTGTATGTGTGTTTAGTTGCCGACTGATAGTCACAAAAATGGTTTGAAACCTGTTAGGTATTGTTCTCTTATTTAATATACTTTTTCTTTCAGAAAAGCACTTGAAATGGCATGCAAAACACAATCCCAAGCATGATGTGAAAGAAACATAGTATAGGAAAATAGTGGAGAAGAAGTTAAATAGTAAAATGACACTGAACTCAATTTGAACAAATAAATGCCTTTCAGAAGACCCTGTCAGTAAAGGATTATTGATTTGACATCAAACTAATGATGAAAGCAGCAGAGAAAGCATAATCAGGTGCAAGCTACACTGTGAATATAAGAGAAAAATCAACATTTTTTAGTATGAGGCACTAAGTTTCCTTACAAAGGGAATACATAATATTATAGAAATATATCTGACACCTTTCATACACGTTTGCAACTCGTGCTCACTAAGCTGGAGGAAGAATATTGGAGCACAATTCAATACCTTTTACACAGGTCAAAACTATATGATCTACAAACACGATCCTGCATAGTACAAGTATGTTTGCTTGGATCTCAGAATCAATTTACTACATAGGGGAATGAATGGTGTGCAGACTCCTCAATAAATGTGAGTCCATGTGTGTGTACAACATTAAGTATAGACTTTTTCTTCCAAATAAGGCAAATCCATATGCTTAAATGATTGTAGAAGTAGAAATTGTTTTTGACACATTCATAATGAGAATTATGGAGAATACGGCAGGAAATACCAAGTTTTGTCCTAGAGTTGATAGCAACACATGTCCAAAAGATCGTCACCAGGTTATGAACTGAAGGAGAAGAGGCTCTCACTGTTTCTGAGCACTTTTCTGATACTTCAGAAGTATTTCTAAATGCTTTAGAAATCGGGCGTATTATGAGGACTAGCAATCTTTGGGAAGAGGAATACTTGAGAAAAACTTCCTGATGGGTGAAAACAATTGTGGTCTTGTTTGTTAATACAGGGTCAGAGCCAATACGCAGGGCAGGAAAAAGTGGCACCTCAACACCCACTACCCCTGGATCAACTGCCATCACCCCTGGCACTCCGCCAAGTTATTCTTCACGTACTCCAGGCACTCCTGGAACCCCCAGCTATCCCAGGACCCCTCATACACCCGGAACTCCCAAATCTGCTATCTTGGTGCCCAGTGAGAAGAAAGTCGCCATCATACGTACTCCTCCAAAATCTCCCGCTACTCCCAAGCAGCTTCGGCTTATTAACCAACCACTGCCAGACCTGAAGAATGTCAAGTCCAAAATTGGATCGACAGATAACATCAAATATCAGCCCAAAGGGGGACAGGTAAGAACTCCACAAACATATATATGCGCCAGAAATAAAGCCCCATGGATTACGTTGTCTTCCTCATAATACGAGCTAGCAGTTCTTAAAATGAAAATAAGGTATTAGAGTCACAGCTTATAATTCATTGTCAAGAGTGTGGGTGTTATCAGAAGAAACAAGCCTATAAAGTACAGCGAAAAATTGCATGACTTATACATTCTTTCTGGTTATTATTGGGCAAAAATGGATTTAAACATATAGAAGAATCTTCTAGTTGATTGCCTAACATCATTATATCTCTGTTGCTTTGTGAATTTTACCTTAGGAGAATGAAGTTACACTTCTGATACAAATTTTCTATTTTAGATCCTGACCTTGAGCTCATTTGAGTTTTACCTTCTCCCTTCTTCCCCAAGGATTTCCCATGACATCTTCTACAATTTCTTCATGTCCCCTCCCAAATCATAAAGCCTTTTATTTTCATTCTTAATATTCTTTGCCCCTCTTTTTCTTATACTTCCTGTTGCTGATTGCTGGTATCCCTCCTTCATGCCAGGGAATATCTGTCTCTCTATTCCTACTCATTGTTGACACCAAAATTCACAATTGGTTTCTTTGCTGTCTCATTATGATTCTATTCACCAAAACCCAGGACATTAAGAAAAAGCGAAAAACAGAGTAAGAAGGGAGAGATCAGTGTGCCTTTTTTGGAACAACTATAGCATCCCATAATAATATAATCACACAAAAATGCCTTTTCATAGATAAACATTACCAAAAAATGTGAGCAGCAAGACACTTCTTAAAGCAAAAATAATTCAAATTCAACTAAAGTTAGGCCTGTCCTTTGAAAAGTCATCTTACAGGGTGTTTTTCTCAAATTCAGGAAATGTTCTTTTTCTGCAGTTGCTAAGCTTGAGATTTTTTTAAGGTTTATTTATTTATTTGAAAGGCAGAGTAATAGAGAGAAGAAGAGACAGAGAGGGAGAGAATTTTCCATCCACTGGTCCACTCCCGAAATGGTCACAGTAGCCAGAATAGGGCCAGCCAAAGCCGGGAGCCAGGAGCTTCATCCAGGTCTCCCTGTGGGTGAAAGAGTCCAAGCACGTGGACAGTCCTCTGCTGCTTTCTCAGGCGCATTAGCAAGAGGTGGATCAGAAGTGGAGCAGCCAGGACCTTAACTGGTGTCCACATGAGATGCTGGCATCTCAGGCAGCAGCTTAACCCACTGTGCCACAACACCAGCTCCTAAACTGGAGATTTGGATGAGAGTTTTAGATTTCCTTCTTTATAGAATAACTGAACAAAAATTTACGTTAGACCTTTTTAGAAATTATCTGAATGACATGCTATAGACCTTCAGTAATCTGATCAAGCATCCATATGGTTTTCTTTTGTAAACTGATTATGCTAGGATATATGAATGATCAATGGCCAACCCAGAATCACTGAAAAGGACAGAACAATAGCTGTAGTTTCTGCAGGAGCCAAGTTTCATAAGAGATAAGTGTTCTCTTGGTATGAGAAAAGTATTCATATAATTCTAGTTAATAAAGATTGGAGTAAATTTGAAAAATGTAACTAATTAAATGTGCAGAGGCTCGATTGTAGAAAAAAATTTGGTATGTTTACATCACACAGAAATGATTTTATTTTGAATCTTCATTATTGCTATTTTACAGTTTGACCACTAAGAATTGTAATTGAGAGGGGAACTTGTAATAAAAAAAAATTGTCTTGGGAATTCATCAACATCCCAAGTTGAAGACTTTATTATTTTCCCTCTTATTTGGACATTTATTGCTCTTGTGGATACATAGGTTTTATGCTTACAGCTGTTATCTCTTCTGTTAAAGTCCAATTTTCTGTTAGCAGAGGTGGTCAATTCGGTGGTTCAGTTTGGAAAGGCAAATCAACAACTAATGGAATAATAGATAAGCTAGCAAAGATATGAAGAGCTTTACAAAAAGCAGTGAAGTTAATTTTTTCAGCTAAGGTGTAAATTCATTCTATTGGAAAGAACATGGAATCATGGATTCACTATGTATAGTGAATGTGGATTATTTAACTCATAGCATCATTAAAACTGTCATATTCAATGTGTTAATTTGAAGCTATCTCAATGTAGGTACCTCTCTAATCTACATTAAATCTAAATTTTAGATTAATAATGTTATATTTTTAAGAACATAACTGCTTGGATTAAAAAAAAGTAGGAAAATAATTTTTCTAAACACATAGCATGAAAAATGGGAACAACTTGAGAAGTGATGCTTTTAATGTTTGAAAGTATGAGTCTGACATTTTATAGGCACTTTGATTTATGTGGAATGCTTTTATCTGTTTTGGCAAGTTTCTTCTTTTTTTCCCCATTAATTCACCATTAACCTTATGAAGAGCAGTATAAAAAGCACTAGTTATATACTCTTGTAATATACTTAAAGTTATAAATGAGGCTGCTTCACAGAGGGTTTCATTTCCAGCTGTTGGTGTAGGGTGCTTAGTTAGATGGTGACCTCTACAAAACCCTGTCTGTGTCTTTGATTTACAGCCTTATGAATGATGTGTCTTGCTTCATTCATGGCTCCAGTCAACCATTTTCAGGTCCTCGAGAATGGTGGCATCTTAAAGCAAGTCACCCCTGTTCAAGGAAGAGCAGTATTCTTCTACATAAAGAGCCTTGTAGAATTTGTAAGCTTATTACCTCCTAACTTGGTGTTGCCATAGCATCTTTTATTTTTTTAAATTTAGATTAATCCTATAGACTAGTCTCTATGAAGTGAATTAATGTATTCTAGAAATAAAGCAGTCTAGCTTTTCTCTCTGAGTTCTGTATGGACCCAGTGAACTAAAGGATGGAAATCAGAGATATTTATCTCCGAATTCAAACCTCACATTTTCATAGAATAAGAAAGAGAAGTCTGCACATTACTATATACTGCACATAAAATTTCTAATGCCCTTCAATGACTGAGCAAAAGTCAGAGTCTATAATTTGTATTTAATGAAAAATTAGTCACTATCTGTAAAGTATATAATTTTATTGCCTTCTTTTTGTTGTTTGCTTTACCTTTTGTTTCATAACATGAAAATGGTCATTTTACTTAATAGTGTCACTTATGCAAAGTTTTTTATTACATCAGCGTTGAAATTTGAAGCTTCTAAACTTTAATATTTTGGACATAATTAATGCAAAACTGTTATTCAAGTAGTATATTATTAAAACATATATTACTAATGCAATGTTATGTTGCATTTAATCACATTTTTGCTATATGTTACATCTGACAGGTTATTTTTAAAATCAGTTCTCAAAGTTTTAAAACAGATTCTACTTAGCTAACTTTTAAATTACTATAGGTGATATTAAGTACCAATTATGAAATCCTAATTCTAATATTAGCATCAACATCTAAAAAATACATGGAGACTTATCTTCTATTTCATTGACAATTTCAGAAACTCAGTTTTATAGTTGCTTAATAATTTATTCAGCAATGTTTTATTGTGCACCTACAATGTACCATGCTATATTCTAAGTCCTAGGACTAAAAATAAACAAAACTTCCTGAAACACTTACTTAATTTTAATGGAAAAAGTAAAGTAAAAAATGATAGAAGAAAAACATATAGAAAAGTGCTAAACAAAAAGGAAAAATAGACAAGGTAGAAGCTTAGGATGTTGAAGGGGCATTTCTGAGTGTGGCTAGAAAAGGAATGAGAGGTCATATTTGGATAGAAACTCCAAGGAAGTGAAGGAGTGATCTGTGTGGAAAAGTGGGGAAAGCAGCAAGAACCATACATGTAAAGGTGCTGATGTAGAAGTGGATCTAGCACATTCTAGGAACAGTAAGGGTCTCAGTGTGAGTGTTTAGCAGAATGTTCACACTACATTTTTAATCTTATTACATCTATTCAAATACTAGCACCTTAATATTGCTACACCAAAGCCTAGGAATCATGTTTTTATCTCCCTTTCCCTTGCTTCATATTCTGGCTATCTTTAAGTACTATGGTTTTGTGTCCTGGATAGCTCTTAAATCTTCCCATTTCCCTCAGACTAGATCACTCCCCTTGTGCGTGCAAGATATGTTATCTCTTGCTGATGATTGCAATTGATGTTAACTTGACTCTCTGCATTTGATATGCTCTGTTCTATAGTCAAAACCTATCATCTCTCTAATTAATCTCCTTGTAGTGTCGTATAATGTCTGTCTTGCCCTTCCTACTTTATGGTAAGTTCCATGAACTCAGGGACGAGATCTATCTTGTTTCAAAGTCCTCTACATAATAGGTTCTCACTAAATATTTATTCAGTGAAATGAAAGAGTTACATAGGGGCCGGCGCCGTGGCTCACTTAGTTGATCCTCCGCCTGCAGTGCCAGCATCCCATGTGGGCACCAAGTTCTAGTCCCGGTTGCTCTTCTTCCAGTCCAGCTCTCTGCTGAGGGCCCGGGGAAGGCATTGGAGGATGGCCCAAGTGCTTGGACCCTGCACCTCCATGGGAGACCAGGAGGAAGTACCTGGCTCCTGGCTTCAGATTGGTGCAGCGCGCCAGCTGTGGAGACCATTTGCGGGCTGAACCAACGGAAGGAAGACTTTTCTCTGTCTCTCTCTCCCCATTGTTCTTAACTCCTGCTGCTCGAAAAAATAGCCTAGAATAGACATATCGAATGCTGGCTGCTACAAAAGTTCATAAAAATGCATATTATGAGTAAACATGCATTGATTTAAAATATTTTGCAGCAAAATAGAGTCATCTTTTAATTCCATATTTTTAAGATTTATTTATTTATTTGAAAGTCAGAGTTACACAGAGAGAGAAGGAGAGGCAGAGAGTCTTTCATCCACTAGTTCACTCCCTGATTGGCTGCAATGGCCTGAGCTACATTGATCTGAAGCCAGGAGCCAGGAGCTTCCTCCGGGTCTCCCCATATGGGTTCAGGGGCCCAAGGACTTGGGCCATCTTCTTCTGCTTTCCCAGGCCATAGCAGAGAGCTGGATTGGAAGTGAAGCAGCTGGGTCTCGAACTGGCACCCAAATGGGATGCCGGCAATGCAGGCAGCACCTTTACCCGGTATGCCACAACACCAGCCCCTTAATTCCATTTTCTCACAAACCTTTTGAAGCACTCTCAAATATGACAGAAAAGGGAGTATGAGAAAAATAAGGCATAATCTCTACAATCCAGGCAAAAAGCAGAATTTTTTTGTTTTCTTTCTTGTCATCTGCTAGTTGCTGTCACTTGTTTAAGTTCTTTCTACGCCATTTATTTCCATCTCCTTAGGGTTATAGTAAGTGCTAAATAAGAGGAATACTAAAATACCCTGTGAACTTTAAAATACTGTCAGTCGAGCTAGCATGACATGAGACTATGCAAGGGAATTCCTTGTATTATATTGACAAAGTATTTTCTTTTCTTGGTACCAAAGTCATCATTATCTCAAAATGAAAGGACCCTAAGAGAGGGGACTCTGTCTTTAGGCTATAGAACCTTGATAACTATAACTTAAATCTCTTCTGCAGGATAATGACAAGTCTTGGAGCTAGAATCCATAAATATTAATTATACTATAATATGAGAAAATTACTAACTTTGGTTTACAAAGTTGAGACCTGTGGAGCCCTTTCTGCTTGCTGCTCATTCACAGGACAAGTAAGGTTCTGGGGAAAAGCCTTCAATTTTAGATTGTTTTCAGACAACAGAGCAGACTTTAAAAGTTACTTTCTCCACCATTTTCTAGAATTTCTTAACAATTTAAAGTAAAAAAAAAATAATGTCAAGAGATTGTAGTGTATGAATTTGAAAAAACTCATTATATGTTCGTCTTCATGAATCAAAGTCAATGTTGTGCTCATAACTTTCTTCCAGTTCCCAGCAGGAGACCATTTTATAAAGACTTATTAATCTGAAAGGCAGAGTTACAGAAAGAAAGGGAGAGACACAGAGAAAGCTTCCATCTGCTGCATCCCTCCCAAATGACAACAGTGGCTGGGGCTGAAGCAGGCCAAAGCCAGGAGCCTGGAGCTTCATCTGGGTCTCCCACATGGGTGGCAGGGTCCCAAGCACTTGGGCCATCTTCTACTGCTTTCCCAGGTGTATTAGCAGGGAGCTAGACTGGAACTGTAGCACCCAGGACTTGAACCAGTGCCTTTTGGGTATCCTGGCATTGTAAGTGGTGGCTTAACCCACTGTGCTACAACAGTGGTCCTGAGAAACCATTAAAAAGTGCTTAGCATAAGTGTAATGGCTAAGCTCATTAATGTTGTTTCATTAGAGTCCTTTCCAAATTCTCTAGAATGGTCTATTCAGCTCAGGGTTTTCGGGTATAGTTTTTTCTGTGCCTTGTGGCACAGCCTATATATGAAAATTGGTTCCTCCTACTATCCTTTTCTTTTAGCTTTGTAAAATTGTGCATTTTGACAGAAACTATTATTTCTATTTAATTGTGTATTTAAATATATTGATTCTTTATATGAGATCTAAATAATTTTGAAAAAACTCTTGGTCAATGTCAGCAGGTTTAATTAACCATTCTGAATGGATCGTAATGTTTTTAGGCCCAAATGTAAATCAGCCAAAGTTGTTGACAGATGAATCTTGAAGAACTACTATGCCAGAGAACTTTGTCTTTAGGAATATCTGTTGTAGTAATATTTTCCTTTGAATATATCATTCCTGTTGACATTGCAGAAGTTACATAAATAATTTTCATTAAATTGAATGGCATGGAATGGAAAATATTTTGAGAGATGCAGAACAATGTTTTTGTAATACAAGGACACAAGTTTAAGTGATCCTGAGAAATGACTCAAGCCCAAAACTGCAGCTTCATCCCCTGCAAAGTTAAGCAGTTATTTCAGTGTCACTGTCTACTACCCTTTCTTTGAGACAACCTCAGATGGAGGAAGAATGACATGTTATTGCAGCCGAGGCTTATACCTAGATGCCTTCTAGGGTCTTCAGAGAATCCAGACTGGTGGATTTGTAGTAACTCCATGCTGCAGCACCTTGAGCTGGCATGTAGGTTTTTGGATAATGAAATAAACATCAGAGATTGTCAAGTTAAAAAAAATCAGAATTCCATTGCTTAAAAATTTCTAGTTGATTTTAGAATTAATGCCTCTGGATTATAAATTATTTTGCTAAAAACTGTATTTGGGGGATGTATTTCCTTTCATTTTACATGTTCCATATTCAAAACTAACTTACAAGAGAGAGGTATCCTTGCTTGCAGCATATTCTGAATTTTTTCTTCCTACCCTTTTCTAGAATGACTGTATTTTAGGGGAAAAAATATTAGGTTCTCTAAAAGAATGATTAAACAGGAAAGAGAGATGAGAAGGTGAGGGAGAAATGGAGAGAGGAGAGACAGAGAGAAACAGTGACAGTGGCAGACCTCTATAAGTAAACCATCATGATAAAAATCTAACTAGAGCCATACAAGGAATATACAGAAATTAACCACAATGTTCTTCTCTGGCATGATGGAAGAATAGCTAGAACTAGTAAAAATTAAAATCAAAATGATATAATCCTGCTTCAGTATTTTAGTTTTGCTCACCTATGGTTATATAACTCTCATAGTTATTCCAATATGGAAATATGTGAAGAATATGCTATTAATGCCTGTCAAAAGTCTGCTTCGAGTAACAGACTGAACAGACATAGGTTGAGCAAAACCACTATTGAAGTAGGTCACCTACTTTAACAGAAAAATCTGTGGCTCTCTGGAAAGTCTGGGGGAAGAGCAGCAGAAGTCAGGTTTAAGTTCTAGGGTTTAAAGATTCTAACTTGTCCTAGTGCTGAGAGTGTGATCCTCTAGATTGAAGCATTTGTTTTGGAAGTCATAAAAATTACCAAAAATTTGACTAAATGTTAAGATAAAAAAGATTTATATAACTGTATTTATAATTTCCATTTTGCAACAATTGAGATTTAACATTTGGCTTTGACTAAGTCACTCTATAAGTACTCTAATGGTCTCTAAATTATAATTTGTAGACTAACTAGGAAGCATTTATATCCCCAAAGATTAGTAAGATGACTCGTGTAAATTCTATTTTATTATCAAAATAGTTAGATACTCATAGAGATAATATAGAATATTAATATTATAAATAATGGAAATTATTCTGAAAATAATTTATGAGATTGTAATATAATGGCAATAAAATGTAATAGTCTTTTTTATTTAAAACTATTTACAGTTTATGTGAAACTCTTACAATATCTCTTTCTGTGATAGTTCCCTACCCTCTTTAAATTGGAAATTTTTTATGCCCTGAAGAGTAGCCCAGTCATCCTGTCTTCTGAATTCAAATTTCAACAATAGGTCCTTCCCCTGGGCTACTGTTGAGAGCTGGCAGTGACATTTCTCTGTAAGGGACAGGCTGTCTTGTCAATATTCGGTAGGTGCTGTGATTTAAGCTTTGCCTAGTTGAAAAAAAACAGTCAGGAGTCAATGTCTTTTTGAATTTTTAATACTTTCTTGCAAATGCCACGATGTGTCAACATTTTTGGAAGTACTCATACATCTAGGATAAATTTACTTAGTTTTTTTTTTTTTTAATAAGAAGATAAACTGTCCTCTAAAGCATTGAAAATGTGATTTCTCTTTAGCTACGGGTGTTGGGAGGAAGATTAGTAGCCAAAATAAAGCAAGAACAACAAGAAAATAATTTTAAAAAGTTATAATAAAATTAAATCTTTATATGCATGCTTACCTTTCTAACCTTCCCTCCAAAATACACAAGGTTCAAAAGACACGTGGAAGAAATCTCTCAAGACTTATGACTTTGTACAATACCTTACATCATAATAACATCATTCCAGATTGGAATTTACTGTTGTCTTCAAGATGAATGCTTGCCTTCCTAGAAATATAAACAAAATACCCAACCCTAAATCTACCAGACTCAACCAAGGCCTGGACTACTTCCTTACAACTTAATACAAGTCAGCTAGCCAACGGTTCTTGGTTTTCTTACCTCTACAGTTGGGAAGAATGTTTTCACATGACCATTCATGGCTAATGGCTGCTTGTGAGCAGTTGCCACAGAGGGCCTTCAGAAGGGCAATGAGCAAACCCGCAAGGGAATTCTAAAGCCCTTGTTAGCAGAGCAGGCCCAGAAACTAACTCTCTATTGATCCTACTGAGAAACTAGGAGTTCTTCTAGATAGATGGGGATACCGGCCCGAGATATTCACTTGTGCTTTGCAGACAAATAGAACAGCCAAGCATATGAAGGGATTAATAATTGTGATGGCTGACAGTGTGAGGAATGGGAGAAAGAATCTGTATTTCCTGCAGGATCCCGAGCTAAGCCAGAACTATACTAATGAAAATTCCAGAGTGGCCTCAATGTTGCCTACAGTATCAGTAGCCTCCCCATCACAGATGGTCTGGGTTTTATTTTTCTATCCCTCTAATTGTTTCCAGATTGCACCTAGGTACAGCTGGGAAACCTAAGGCTAGAATTTGGACCTTGAGGGTACAGGGTAAGAAGGACCCACCAGTTACATGATAGAACTGCTCTGCAGTTCCTCTGTTAGTTTTTCTTGCAAAGAAATACTTAGGTGGAAGGAAGTCCCTGGTCTGTTTTGTGTTATCCATTCTAGTTCTCTATATTCAGCATCTATAAAGAAAAAATGCACGGTGAAGTTACCTCCAATTCCTTTTAGGTTAGAATTTTAAACCAGAAGATCGATTTTAGCAAAGTTCAGTCCAGATGTGGTTCCAAGGATAACATCAAACATTCTGCAGGGGGCGGAAATGTAAGTAGGAGCTTCCTTTAGAAAGCTGTCTGTACGGAGCTTCTTGCACAGCCAGCACTCTGTCTCCTTTCCTGCAGCCTTGCAACACACTCTTCCCTTCTCTCTGCTGTTCCACATGTCCTCCTGATACGGTAGCTTGTCATCCTTGTATTCTTAGTAATGGGTTTCGCATCCTTTCCTGTGAGATTATCAATAAATTTCTTGCTTTGAGTTGGGAAAGAAAATCACAATAGGTTGCACCATGGTCTCCTGGAGGATGGCAAACCCACTTTACTTGCCAAATTTGTTTGCTGGATTTTTGTCTCAAGGTATTTTCTCATGCTGTTTCTACTCTCCTGCAAAATGTCAGCTGGGCACACACTTTTCTAGCTCTATTTAAGCTACCCTTGAGGCAAAGACTAATATACTTGAAAAAGCCTAAGGTATAGTAATGTCAATCTTCAGTGGTTCATTATTCATGAAAGTTAGGATATCATTTAGAATAATACAGAACTGGTGAAGCGTAATTCAAAGTGAAAGGATTCAAATCCCAGTATACACTTTGTGTAATGAGATTTTTCCTGCCTCTTTCATTTGGTGGAAATAATATCCTAGGGGAGGAAGGGTAAGATCAATGCCTATTTCATAAGGGTGAGGGAGGCAGACTTGAAGTGGCCAGACCAACTCAAGCTAAACAAAGCATGGTTCTTCATAAAATAATACTTTTTAGAAGGTGAATCAGGATGACCCTATACAAATGATCCTGTCACCTAAACTTTAGATTATGATGATTTGTGATTCAAGTAATTTATAAGATATCAAATCCAGAATCTTCACCTTTCTAACTCTTGGCTACCTATTTGCTCCTCAACTGGGCTGAAATGGAGTCAAGCAGTGAAGAGAGGAACAAACAAGTGCCCCTACAAGGAGCTGTCACCTGATAAAGCAAAGTCACTCCATGGATTATGAAAGTATCACTGTGTGGGCAGCCCATAGCTATGTCTGCTGGGCTCCTCCAAGGATGCTAGACTCATGGGGTGGATATTTACACTCATGCGGTTTCCTCTTCACTGTTGCCCCGCCTATGGACTTACACCACACATTAATCTCTTCTCTTGTCTCTGCTTATGGAAAGGTTTAACGTGGCGTTGCTTAGTACTTTGAGTGAAAGCTTTTCTTATTAATACAAAAGTTTCTATCCACTTGAGGCATGATCTGTTTTCTACTAATAAAATCTTCTGTTCCAGGATTTTCTTTCACTTGGGTCTTTCTACTCTAAATGTGTGGGAGAATATATGGAAAATTATGCTTTCATGTGTGTGCGTGTGTGTTTGTGCCTCAGTTTGAATTTCTGGATATGTTATTTCATGTGGTTAGTTTGGGTATATTTATAGATTTTGAAAATGAACATGCCTATACTATTTTAAGTATGTTTTATATGGTTCACAAAGGTACAAATTGTTACCAAGAAGATTGACCTAAGCCACGTTACATCGAAGTGTGGCTCTCTGAAGAACATCCGCCACAGGCCAGGTAAATAAACAATTTTTAGTAGTTTGAGAAATATTTAACAGAACCTTAGAAATTGACAAGCAGATTTGCTCCAACATCCTGATACTTCATGCTTTTATTAATGAAAACTAAAGTTAAAAATTTCAAGGCATCTTCATTTGAGACACATGAACCCAATTAATATGAATTGACCATATGTCACAGACTAGGTTAAAATTTTAAAATGTGTAAAATGCATTTATCTTCATAATATTGACACTCTTGGTCTGTAAAATGCATTGTGCCATGTATTCATACATAGCATTGAGTGCAAGCACTAACCAAACATTTTTCATGAAATTATTTTTCTGCATTATATAAAAAACAGGCTTGTGGTTAGTAAAGCTGAAAAAATTTATTTATCTGATGATATCTCAGATCCTTTATTACGAAGGCAATCATTATGAATCCTTAGCAGAATATAATGCTTTTCCAAATTATTTGACCATGGGCACCTTTTGGTTTTCTAGAATGTGTCATTGGACTAATGTTTTGAAATAGAACTTATACTCACATTTGCCAGGGGACATAAGGGAGCTTCTCCTTTTAAAATGTGACTCTAACATTATGAGTCGTTTTTTCTTAATATCATGAATTATATATTTTTCTGATTCTAGTGCCATGCATATATAATAATAGATAATTTTAAATTTTTTAATTTTCTTGAGAATATTTTGGCACAATTTCTATACCCCATTGAATCCTGGAAGGACAAAAGGGAAGCAATTATATTTAACCATCTGTGCCTGACATCTTAACATAAAAATTAGGTAATAGATTTTCCATTAATCATTATCTCAAATGGTAAAAAAAAAAAAAATATAATAACATGTGAACTTAATGAGATTTGTGGCCATGAGGAGATTTTTAAGAATTTATTATCTGAAAAACAAAGACAATATAACTTTCAAAATTGATGAATGCTCTGGAATGGTCTAGAAACTAGAACTCATTTTGTAAAAAGGTGTTCATAAAGCAAGTCAAGGAGTTAGAAACTACATATTTATAATCTCCATTATGAATTTCAGATTTGCTTCCATGGAATTAGCCCCTCTGTTTTTCATGGGACAGTAGGAACATGGTCCCTTAAAGCTTTATCTTCATGACTCGCCTGTCTGTTGCTGAAGCCAACAGACAATTAATTTTGTACTGCCACATTAACTGTGTACACGTAGATTTGATAATACCCCCTATTTTCTAGCAGAATTCAAAAGAAAACTCTGGATTCTTTGATTACAGACATTAAGAATGCAGGTAGTCAAATTCATCAGGGGACTGAATGTATAGAAAAATCTTGCAGCCGGCGCCGCAGCTCAATAGGCTAATCCTCCCCCTAGCGGTGCCAGCACACCGGGTTCTAGTCCCAGTCAGGGCGCCAGATTCTGTCCCAGTTGCCCCTCTTCCAGGCCAGCTCTCTGTTGTGGCCCGGGAGTGCAGTGGAGGATGGCCCAAGTGCTTGGGCCCTGCATCCCATGGAAGACCAGGATAAGTACCTGGCTCCTGCCATCGGATCAGCGCCGTGCGCCAGCCATGGCGGCCATTGGAGGGTGAACCAAAGGCAAAGGAAGACCTTTCTCTCTGTCTTTCTCTCTCTCACTGTCCACTCTGCCTGTCCAAAAAAAAAAAAAAAAAAAAGAAAGAAAGAAAAGAAAAAGAAAAATCTTGCATAGATCAGGAAATATTCTGTATGTGACTTGGTAGTCAGAAAAGACTATTGCCATGACTCCTACCAATTTCTTCACAGTTATTTTGGAATATGGAATATCAAAAGAGAAACAAAAATAATTCAGTACCTGTAAGATATTATCTGCTCTTTACAAATTCACTTCTGAAACTATTTAATAAAGATATCATCATTCATAGCTACTGCTCCTGGTGGGTGCCTGAATTCATCAAAAGCAAATGGGTTTCTCTAACAGTTGCACAAGACTTTCTAATGAGACCTCAAAAGAGGTCTACTCAAGATTCCTATCCCATGGATGTTTTTGGTTAACAACCCATTGTTTTTTCCTTCTCAAAAGACAGCTAAATGAAAATTTAGCAAGACTCTATTGACACAAAATATAATCAGAAAAAGGAAGCTTAATAGATCAATTTCTCTCAGAAACTACAATAGAAAAAAATACAGAAACAGGGTCCCAGACTCTTGACTTTATCTAGTTGAAAGCCTCATGCCCTCCAGCCCACAAATTGGATAAGTATGTTTCTTATGAGTCACTGTGAATCATGCTACTCCCATCATAACGAACAAATAACACCTATGTAGACAAGTAAAATGTAAGAAGAAGCACACTCCATGAAATGGTGCAGATTTTGAGGGAAAGATAACAACATTTCATTTAGACATGAGTTAAGTAGCATTATTGCTTTCTAAGCTTTCAAGAGAAGAATGAATGTTTCTAAGTGTTATCCAATTAATCTATATAAGTTCAGGAAACCTTTGGCTAGGCAATTGGGGTTAACATAGGTGCCTGAATATTTTATAAGATAATTATTATAAAACAGTCTAAGACAGCAAATACCTGCCCAGTGTAAAATAACCCGCTATATTTGAAAGCCTGAGAAAGACATGCAGAGACAGGGTAAGATCACACTTAAGGGTAGAACGTGGGACTCTCATAGTCAGTAAATCCTATCTTTCAGCCTAGTTATCATTAGGGGAAATGGCATGGTCAAAACTCTGTCTCACCATCATCAGATCAGTGTCAGTGTCAGAATGGTTCCATGACATCTATAAAAGAAAGGGCTTTCTAAGATCCTGTTCCTATTGCTCCATGTATTAATATGAATGAGGAGTTCTTAAAATTTACTAGTTATAAACAACCTAACTCCTGACTCATTTCATCAATGAAGCTGCCAATGCTGAAAATTCATAAATGAATATATTAACCATATGTGCACCATTCTAGCCTAAAACTTATTTGCTAAGTGACCTGTTACCAAATGAAAAAGCAGAAAGAAGAGTTTTATTTCAAGTGAATTTACTACCCTGGAAATAAGAGACTAAATGTGTCAGGTTTTAGAAAGGATACAACAGGCTATTTTCATTCCGTTATTTTTGGAGTTTCTGTTATAGCAATAAGAAAACTCCTACTGATTTCTTAGATTAAGCAGAAATGGATAAAAGAGGAAAGTATTAATATGTGAAGTAATCCACATGGTGTAATAAAAAGTGTGTCATTGTCTGGGATTGTACCAGGAAGTGAAATGGACTAGAAATTAGAAAAGATTTCTTTCACATCCGTGATCACAGGGATAGAAGAGTTAGTAAGTTTGTGGCTTGCAATGATCTATCTACAAAATAGCCATTTTGGGGAAATAGTCGCCTCAAATACAGTTACTTTCAGCAGAGCATTTAAAATCCTTTTCCATTTCAAAGGTGGTGGACGTGTGAAAATCGAAAGTGTAAAACTGGATTTCAAAGAGAAGGCCCAAGCTAAAGTCGGTTCACTTGATAATGCTCACCATGTTCCTGGAGGTGGCAATGTCAAGGTAAGAAACAGTCTTGACCCAACCTTGTTTTTATTAATTATTATTGTCATCATTATTCTGAAATACTCTTTATCAAAATGGATTCCAGATTGAAGACTTGGGCACAGAGTTTCACAGGAGTCACATTAATATCATCTCTGGGTTATGAAGAAAGAGTTAAGAAGCCAGTTATTATTTTTCTGTTAATGAGAACTGATGCTTGTTTTAAACAGATTGACAGCCAAAAGTTGAACTTCAGAGAGCACGCTAAGGCCCGTGTGGACCATGGGGCTGAGATCATTACACAATCTCCAAGCAGATCCAGTGTGGCATCCCCCCGGCGACTCAGCAACGTCTCCTCCTCCGGAAGCATCAACCTGCTAGAATCCCCTCAGCTTGCCACTTTGGCTGAGGATGTCACTGCTGCACTCGCTAAGCAGGGCTTGTGAATATTTCTCATTTAGCATTGAAGTAATAATATTTAGGCATGAGCTCTTGGCAGGAGTGGGCTCTGAGCAGGTGTTATAGTCATTCTTTACAAACCATAAATAAATAATCTCATCCCCAAATTGTAGTAATTGTTACAATTTTATATAAAAAAAATGAATAGTATATGCAGAATTTGACCTGATTTCCATCTGCAACAGGAAGACACTGGCTTTATATGGGTACAATTGGACAATTATTTTCGCTCTGCTCTGTTTTGCATGGAGTATTAATTTAAAAATTGCATTTTTACCTTTCATGTGCCTGAAGGCTATCCACTACATTCTGAAAGGCCTTGTTAAAATGCAAGCTGCTCATTTTACTCTTCTGTTTCTGAGTGAAAAGATAAAATCTGCCCATTGTAACTTATTACAGGTTAAATTAAATAAGGGAGTCAGACTGCCAGAAGGGAAGAGCATGTAAGAAATAAGTTTTTTAAGGTGTTATTTTGTATAAATGGGAAGAAAGATTCAATTAAGTTATTAACATTTGGGACCTGGATTATTATATCAGAGTATGTTGATCCAATAAATTATTTAACTAATTAAAAAAATAGCTGCAAAGCATTTGAGGTATGGTTGAGGAAGTGGAGTAAAAGTGCATCTCTTAGGAATGAGACACGTCCATTAGGATGGACTTGTGTCTGATTAGAATGTCAGTTGATCGGCTAGATTTGTGTCCACACTACCAGTTCCAAAACCCCCTTCCATCTGTTTGATACAGTATTATAGATATAAATATATATATATATTTCTCTGTGGCCATTTGTGATACTTCCTCATATACTTGAATATTACACTCTTTATTCACAGTATCTGTGTCACCTGCACCCTTTGGTGTTACAATTTTAGATATGTGAAAGTAGATGTTAGCAGGGTTCTCTCTCTATTTAAAAAACACATTAAAAAAGAAAAAAAGTTTTAGCATGAAGTTGCTTTCTGTAACAACTCAAAGCTGTAACCCTGTTTTAGTGCCAGATACAAGTCTCTCCCGTAATACTAGGAAAAATATTTTTCTTTGCTTTCACCAACATGGAGTTTGTGGGGGTGGGTCCAGTTATACATAAAAGGGTTTACAGATTGTTGGTTTAAGATTATTGATTTATCTCATTTTTCATCAAGGAGTAGTTTGGATTTTATTCAGATTCATGAAACTGAGTTTCAAGATTTCTTTCTTTTTTCCATTTGCTAAAGTTGATATTAATAGTGATAGTTTGGGACATATTTCCAATTATTTCAAATAATATCTGATTATTAAATTCTCCAATAGAAGGTGTTTGACTTTCTTATCCAAAATAAGAATCCTTTGACCAGAAAGAGAAAACACGATATTTGGGAAACTATAGCTGCAGAACAAGTGAGACACAGATATCTAAGTCAGTTTTTTCTAGGGCTCCAACATTATACTCTGATTTTGTATGATTTATCAGTAGATAATATTGTTCTGACTTTATATACTGACTAGAATCACAAATCAACTAACTCCTCTCACAATGATTCATCTTAGACTTCCAAATAAGTAATGAAATCATCAAAGGCCTGAGTAAGGCAAAGAGCTACCAAACTGAACAGACACTTCAGAGTATTTGATTATTCTTTTTCTTGCTCAGGGCTGGTAGGCTGGATCTGAACAGTTAAAGGCAAATAATATTCTGGGTGCTTCATCTCTTTGAGCTAAATCATTTCCTAAAAATAAAGTTAGAAATGATGAGCATGGACTGAGGCAACAAAGTATTAACTGATTCCAGGACAAAAGTCTGGGGTTGCAAAGACAGACACAGGTGCCATTTTATGACCAATTGGATTTCACAACCAAACCAACGTGACTGCCACAAGAGAAACCCTAGGAGCAAACGCACACCATTCTTTCTCAACTAAGAGATTTACATGGCAAACATGTCTTAAAACATTTATTCTTGAAAAAAAAATTAGAAACTACTGAATGGGAGTATGAATGTTTCTGTTTTCTGCCTAATAAATGCTATAAAGTTTAAGTTGACTAATCTGGGCAATTGTTTCATCAACTTCCCTTAAAATGCACCAGAAAAAAGGAGAAGGAATAGTTGTGTGGAGACTTATGGTATTTTCTTACATGTTTTAATAGGGTTAGTTAGTTATGAAAGTTGGCTAGAGAAAAGACGTTAACAGCTGGCTATAACAGTTTTAACCTGTGGAACAAGTATTTTTTTTCACCCTAGTTTAAATTTTTTATAAAAGTTAAGGTGATGTCAACATGGTCTATAGAGTATATTCAGTTTCTTACATGTCCAGAAGACAGAATATATAAGGCACAAGGTTAAAATATTTCATATTAAGACAATTTTTTGTTTCTAACCAAAAGTATAATTAGTAAATAACCTTTGCTTTGTATGGAAATGCAACTCTTTATAAAGTTCACAGAAGGTAACTGATCACTTGTACCAGTAAGAGAGAAACACAGGCTACATGTCTTCTTGTCGGGATGGGAGGGAAACCCGTCTTGCCTTTACTCTCAAGATAACGACACAAAATAAGCTTTTTGAACACCACTCTTGTGGGGACACACATACGCTGATCTAGAAATGAAAACTTCATAGTTCCATTTCTAGATCTACTCATGCCAGTTTCTCTCTGGTGTTAGCCTTTGAGAACCTGTTTAAGAATACATGAATAGTCCAGAGCTGTGAAGAGTTAAAGGCCACCTTCAATGAACTCACGCTCTCTGGGTCACCTGCAACTGAAAATTGGAAACCTCGCAACAAAGCAGGGAAGATCCGAGTTTATGATGAGTTTCAAAGGCCATGTTCATTTAGGAACAAACTCTCTCTGGACTTACCTGCTGAGTTGCAGCAGGGTAATGGGCTGAAGTCCCACCCACAAGCAAGACACCTGTGTCATATCTGCTGGATATGGCTGAAGAAGGTTCAAGTTCAAAAGCCATTAAATGAAAGAATGTATTGTTCATTGCTGGTCTTCTCCACATACTCATACTGTAATACAGCAGGAATGGGACCATTAGCCAAAATGTAACATCATGTTAGTACATGTTGAGAAATAATCTCAACATGGTTCATTCTGACATAGCTGCTATTATAGTTTTTCTCCTATTATTCATGCCATAAAAAGTTTCTTATTCATGGTTCAAACAGCAAAGACAAAATAGAAGGCAAATTCTAGACATTCCTTCAAAAACTGATGCTTTAAAATCAGCACTGATGTTTTCTTTTTTAACATCTAGAATTTTTAGCCTGGGTGTTTAGGTTATGGCCAAGTCCCTCTGCAGGAAAAAGACAGTTTTCAAATTCAAAAATATCAATTATAAAAGTCCACTTCAACTTTAGCAAAAAGAAAAAAATCAACAAAAAGTATACTCTGTATGCTGGGATTCCAAGGTTCCAACGTGCCGCTACAAATCTGTGGGGGGTTTCTTTCTTCTGATAATTCTAGAGCCTGTTACCATAGAAAGGCATTTCTTCAATGGCTGGTTGTAGTTAGTTCATGTTTTTCAATCAAATTTGCAAATGTATTTGTTGCTGTATAGTGATTGTTTTGCAAAATAAAATTGCTTGTCATCTAATTGCTAATTTCCAATTTTTTTATAAAAATTGTTTCTTCTCCTCTGGAAAAGAGAAAAATTCTGTGTGTGTGTGTGTGTGTGTGTGTGTGTGTGAACATGCATATTCACCATGGGTGCGCACACACATTGTTTGATCAAACTAAAGAATGACTGTGAAGGGAAGACACCTGTCATCTGCTGAATTCTGATTATGTTCCAGGACCCATACTAAGGTGATTTTTATATTAGGCTACCTAATTAATGAGGGACCCTACTTATCACAACTATCTTAGCAGGATATTATCTGTTGCAAGTGACAGAAATGCAAAAATAAATTTGTTTACAATGGCTCCCCCCCATAATTTCCCTCCCACTCACATCCCTCCCATCTCCCGCTCCCTCTCCCATTCCATTCACATTCAAGATTCACTTTCAATTATCTTTATATACAGAAGATCAATTCAGTATATATTAAGTAAAGGTTTCATCAGTTTGCACCCACACAGAAACACAAAGTGTAAAATACTGTTTCAGTACTAGTTATAGCATTACTTCACATTGGACAACACATTAAGGACAGATCCCACATGAGAAGTAAGTACACAGTGACTCCTATTGTGATTTAACAATTTGACACTCTTGTTTATGGCATCAGTAATCTCCCTAGGCTCTAGTCATGAGTTGCCAAGGCTATGGAAGCCTTTTGAGTTCGCCGACTTCGATCCTATTCCGACAGGGTCATAGTCAAAGTGGAAGTTCTCTCCTCCCTTCAGAGAAAGGTACTTGGAAAATGTATATTTACTAAATAAAAAATAAATAAAATTAAAAAAAAAAACAGAGGCCAGTGTTTTGGCATATCAGGAAAAGTCGCCACCTGTGATGTCTGCATCCCATAAGGGTGTCAGTTTGTGTCCCAGCTGCTCCATTTCCAGTACAGCTCCCTGGTAATGACCAGGGAAAAGCAGCAGAAGATGCCCCAAGAACCTGGTCCCCCTGTTACCCATGGGAGACTCAGATGAAACTCTTGGATCCTGGCTCCTTTCTTTGCCTTGGTCCATCTCTGGTAGTTGTGGACATCTCTGGAGTGAATGAATGGGGAGATTCTTTCTCTCTCTCTCTCTCTTTTCTGTCTGTAACTCTGACTTTCAATTAATAAATAAATGTTTAAAAAATAAATAAATTTGTTCAACCATATAGGCACATTTATTGGCTCAAGTAACTAGACAGTTATATCTGGCTTAGGCATGGCTGGATGCAGTCACTCACAGGATATTGTTGAGAATATCTCTTTTTCCAACTCTGGCCCCAGGCATTTGTAAGATGTTATCAAGAATCTTTTTCCAACTTTTGTACCTGTTTCCTCTGTGTTTGCTTCATTCTTAGTCAGGATACACTTCCATGATGGGTACCAGAAGCTGCAGATTCCACAACCTACCAAAGAAAGCCTATTTCCCAAAAGACCAGCCAAGATCCATAATCTGAGAACCATCAAACCATGTGGATCAACTGCCTACTTATATTGCTTGACCAGGCTGTGTGGGTCACATACCCAGCTCTACTCCTGGTGGTGGGAATAGAAGGAGAATGAGGGTCAAAGTGGCCTCATTTGAACTACATGAAGTAATCATAGAAAGGAAATGGGATTCTCCAAAGATAAGTCAGGCTGATACTGTCCAAAGAGAGAAGAATCCATCTGTGCAAGCAATAAAAAACAGATATTCACTATATCCACACACCCTATCCTTTATCTTTTTTAGTCCTCTAGTTCTTTGCTCTTCAAATTGTGCTCAAACATTACAGAGTGGGCTTGTAGGAGCTAATTAGAAATGTAAATTGGGGGCCAGCACTGTGGTGTAGCAGGTAAAGCTGTCGCGTGCAGTGCCAACATCCCATATGGACACCGGTTCGAGACCTGGCTGATCCACTTCCAATCCAACTCTTTGCTGTGGCCTGGGAAAAGCAGCAGCAGATGACCCAAGTCCTGGGGCCCCTGCATCCACATGGGAGACCTGGAAGAAGATCCTGACTCCTGGCTTTGGATTGGTGTAACTCTGGTGGTTGCCACCAACTGGGAGTGAACCAGCAGATGGAAGACCTCGCTCACTCTCTGCCTCTCCTCTCTCTGTGTAACCCTGACTTTCAAATAAATAAATAAATAAAGAGAAATGCACATTGTCAGACCCAACCCCAACCAGTTTACTACATTTTTCCCAGACAATTCATCTGCACATTAAAATTTCTGAAGTACTCGGCTCATCCAAGCACTGCAAATGTGTTTAAAGAGAATGAGTTTCCTGGCAGTCCCTTAAGAATACAATGATTATCCTTAAGGCTATTTGAGACAATATCACTACCTTTGATGCCAAATAATGTTGGTACCAAATGGTAGGAAGCTGTGACTTATGGAAGAAGTAGTTTTCTTTTAGAGGTTTTCCAGCCTTCAAAACATTTCTACCTGGACTGAAAGCTACTTCTGTTGTCAATGGAATCATCACTTCCCATTTAGTCTCTGCTAATACTACAAATCTGATGCAAGCTGATAAAAATCATTAGGATTTTTCTTTAATCATTTTTTTTAAATTAGCACCCATGTTGTCATTGATGGTTTTTAAACCACAAGGCATTAATACTTATATTCATCTGGGAGTGTGAATCAAAATTCTTGATTTCTTTTTATTAATTAACAAAGAATTTATCTGGAGAAGAGAACAATAACTGAAATAATGTAGAACGACAGGATAACATTCTGTGAAGCTTATAGGAGGAAAATACTAATCTTCTTATGCACAGTGTGGCACTTACTTATAGCACTGAGGCCCAAATAACTCAGGACTAGAACGTTGTCAAAAGTACATGGTCTAGAATCCTGAAATTTCAAAACTCAAGTCTTGCACTAGCTGTTCTTGAGCATGGTAAGAAAGCACCAAAGACACATTCCTTCTGACTGGAAGGGATATCATTCAGTCTCAAATACAGCTCATCTGCTCCCTTTTCCACTCCCCCAAATACTGTTAAAATCTCTGGCCCAAGGCCTGGCTTTAGGTAACAGATTTGTGGCCTCCAGGTGTACTTTATTTGACCTGTGCACTGTTTTCAGACTCAAGAAGTTACACACACACACACACACACACACACCCCAGATTTAACCTTCTTCAGAAAAGTTAAAACATTTGGCGAGATAAGGCCTGCATTCTCTCTCGAGGAAAATGGGCTGGAGCTGGTCTGTGCATTCCCCTAAACTGGGTTCTTTCCTCTTGGCCACAGTACCCCACTGTGCTTTTTCTCTTCCCAGCCCACATGTTTCACTTTAACTTATTGTTATAGATAGTAGACTACAAATTTAGTTTGTAACCTTTGCCCTGGGCCCTTTGATTTTTCTCTCCCTTCACATTTCTTTCCCATTTTATAAAATAAAAGCCCAAAAGAACAAGTCTCTGATCAGAAGGTAAAAGACTGGCCAGCAGGGGAACCTGCCAGGGGCCATTTGGATATTTTTTAATGGACCATACAAAGTTATCAATTTAAAACATAGCCTTTTATAAACTTACTGAATTTCAAGTTCTGCCTGCAGTTGCCTTAGCAGGGCCAGACCTGGTAATTCTATGGGCCTTATATGCCCCACAGGCTGGACATTCCCCACCCATTGAAGAGTAAGTCACTCTAAGATATCAGCACTCTAAGATATCAGCACTCTAAGATATCAGCACTCTAAGATATCAGAAGCCAGGGAACACTGATGTTTCATAGACATGGGGATGAAAACCTTGAAGTAGAGTATTTGTTTGGCAGTAGCAACTAGTAATTTTCATATCCTTGATAAACCCACTTAAGATTCTGCTGACGACCTACATTTATAATTAACTTAAGGGAAAAAAAGAAATATGGAGGAGAATTTGTTTTCTTGTCTCCCCATCTGCAATTAAAGAACTTATTGTCAAGTGAAAAATCACAAAAAATATCTTATTTGGCACCCTTGAATGTATAGGACTATTGTCTATTACCCACAGAAGCAGAAGGAAAGTATAGAGAGAAAATGGTCTGGGCCAGTCAACCCAGAGCTAGGTTCTTAGACACAGTACTGATATTAAGGCAACATACACCTGACTCTGTTGAGTAAGTTATAAAAACAGTGAAAGATGTGCTGTCCAAGACTCCTTCCCCCTGACAATGATTGCCTTTGAATACCCCAACCTATTTCCCTGAGTTCCACAGAGCCCCCCATTTCCAGCATTTACAAGGTTAATGCTGACACAGCAGAGAGCCTCCAAGGTGCTGCTCCATTCCTGGCAAACGTTCTGCACTCTTGGCGTGACCAGTGGTTACTGCTCCTCTATGAGCTCTGAAGACTCACATGTGTGTTACCAGTTGTTAAAGAAAGCCCAGGTGGAAACAGTGGGCGGTCTATGCCTGCGCCTTGCAACCTGCTGGACTAAAATCCAGCCCACTATTGCTGTTACTTGCCTATCCCTTTACCTAATTTGCCTCCCACTACCACCACCCAACCAAGTCAGAAGACTGGAACCAAGAGGAGATGATGCCTTGGGTGACATCCTGGCAGGCAAATATTTGGTGCTCATGGAACCATTCCTTGACTGTGGTCACCAGCTACCATTCTCCTTACCCTCATTGTCAGTATCTCAACCGTGTGGTTGCATATGGAAATTACAGTCACCACAGAACTTGAACTCTTAGTAAACTGTGAGAGCCACAGCAAGAGACACCAAGAAGGTAATGTGGGTTACTGAGGCCAGCAGCAGAAGGAGGTTATGAACAATAGATAGGTCCCAAGGTGTAATTTGGAGCTAATGGATGCTTAATGTGGAACCTTTTTGTAGGTTGAAATTCACTTCCATTTCATTTTATTTATTTTTTAAGATTTATTCATTTATTTGAAAATCAGAGTTTCACAGAGAAGGAGAGGCAGACTGAGAGAGAGAGAGAGAGAGAGAGAGAGAGGCCTTCCATCCGTTGGTTCACTCCCCAGACTACTGCAACAGCTGGAGATATGCCGATCCAAAGCC